TCCAACCTTGGAGTGCCATGGGTTACTACGTTTTCTGCATGACTACGACTACACGAGCATGTTAGGATGGATTGCTAGGATTCGACACGATAGTTTTCATTTCGAGCGTATCGTTTGCGCATCATCATAGGATCCGAGGTATTATCGACACGACCCGTAGCATCACGACAGTATACTATACTGTAGGCGGCCAGTCGTCGTGCACAAAACGAGCATGTTGCAATGTAAAAATGGTCGGATGGCTGGTATATGTAGAGGCTCGCGCCGCCGCACTGACAAAGAGCTGCCAGGACTCGAGAGACTCAAGCCTCGAATATCCAATCTTGTCGAATGAACCCGCGGTCTTATTCTCATACAAGGAATCTTACATTACAGGTGCTTAACTTCAGCAGATGCTTGGGTAAATGATAGATCACTTTTCAGCACGCGAAATCTGACTTTATTCAGACTGCGACGTGTCAGAACAAGGGTTGCTACAGAAACGTGTCTTTTTATACTCGCAAACCTGGTCGACCGTAATCAACGTCCTTTGGGTCTCCTTTGAGATGAAAGCGGACCGTCTTTGACGCTGAACTCGACTTTTGACGCACTTCACGTTGTCTGGTTAGTTTCATCAGCCGCTGTACATTTTAACAACTAGTAGCGTCGTCGCGAGCATGTACTTTCCCTCATGCTATGCACTTCAAACCCTATGGAAAGCTAGACAACGTAATAGTATGATACTGCTGAAATTCTACTCTCCGTCGATTGCCGCAGCAAGTATCTGTCCGTACCCATCTCATCTGACAGCTGCTTGGAACCAGCACAGATGCTGGCGGCTTCGAAACAAGTGCCTAGGCCTTTTCGGCCTTTCAAGTTTAAGCACGTAAAAGCTCTCCTCACATCTCCGCCGTTAACCTTCTCGAACTTTGTGGGAGCCGCTTCTCTTTCAGGACCAGCGCCTGCAGGTCTTGCGGCAGAGCGTCGAAAACGTCCTCCACCACCTGGGCGTAATCGTCGAGCTCGATCGCCGCGAAATCGGGTTCCGCTTCTTCGACAATGGGTTTCGCTTTGACTTGGATGGTTAGCTTGACCTTGTTGTTGAGGTCGTGACCCCGGGGCTGCGGCCGGGGCTGCAGGAGCTTTCGCTCCAAGAAGTCCATGACTTGGGCTGCAAGGAGAGCGTGACACGTGTCAGTTTGACAGGAGCTAGTGTCGTAATTGTGCTGCTGCTCGGGGCTTTTCCAAGGTGCTGTCTGCTCAGCTCCCCAGAAACAAAAAAGTCAAATTTTATTCTGAGGGTTTGTTTTCTGTGGAACAAAGACTTGTCCCGTTTTGTTTTTTTGAGATGGAACAAAGACCTGTGCCATTGCCTGACCGCTCTGCAAAGCGGATGTGAGCACTCCTTTGTAAAGGGATGTCGCTAGACGATTCCTGGAGCGCAGAACTAAGTCAGAGCGACGAGGAATAAGCGGCTTCGAACGTCTGTCACACGGACTTGTCTCGCCCGCCAGCAGGTTTCCCAGCAAGTTAGACAAACCATTTGGAGGATTGGCGCCCAACCTAAGCCTTCCGTGTCCTCTTTCCTGAATCGTTTCTTAGACGCACGAAAGTCGGTCAAAACGGTCAAGTTCCACCAGCGATCCTACATGTGTACTTGTGGCCGACTGCTCCGAATACAGGCCGGCTTCAAGTCGCCGGCTTATGGTCACGGGTTGTCCAGAGTTCCTGCTTATGCGACCCCCTCCCCGAGCTGAATGACTATCAAAGTCCGCTTCTAACATGCTGCTTCACTACGTAGCGTTCTGAGCGTTACCCACATTGCGCACACATGCTGGGGGGGCCCCTCACCTGGCACAGGTCTATCTAACGACCCCCCCAGGTTGTTCTCGGTGGGGGTTGCTCCCCAGCCGACGACTTCCTCCCCGCTCTGGTTGAAGAAGACGAAGCCCACCTGGACGGAAAAGTGCTTGAGCTACAACTCACAGGTAGACTCCTACTTGTGGTTTAAAGTCAGAAGGTATTTGCTGATCGTTGCTTTATGGTGTAGCTCTGATCCAGCAAGACAAAGCCCCACTTGAAGAAGAGGCCACACCTGTGGTGCCCATTCCCCACCGGTCTGCACCGGAGCGGTGCGAGAAAGTTCACCCCCTTGCACCTTTTGGCCAGAATCTGGATGCTCGCTCCACAGCATGTTGCATCCAAGAAGCTTTGTTCTCATACAAAGGTGGGAACGAAAGGCTTATACGGGCGTGATCTGACAGCCAATAAGCGGACGCCGCCCGTTCAAACATGATGGCTGCAACCCCTGTGGACACAGTGTTGCTTCTGGCTGCTCTGTGGTAACTCCTCCAAAGTAGCTACCACTCCTATTGCTAAGGATTAAAGAACTGACTGGCCAATTGTCTGCTCTCAGAATTAAAAGCTGGTCAGATCCAGATTCTGATCACTTCAGAGGAGACTATTCTGTTGGGACCCGTTGAAGATTGCGGAGAAGGGAATCACAGGCTGTGACACTGATTATACTTATGTACCCCAACTTTTAGGGGTGCAAACCTTTCCACTCATTGAGTTGCAAATCCAGGTTTAAGCCTCCTTCTTAACCTGGCTTTCTAGAGCTAGAAGCTGTACTTGGATTCAATCACTCTTAACCTTTGCATGACAGATGATTCTTAGCAGCTTAGCTTCAGCTGAACTCCTGCAGTTGAGACTTTAACCTGCTCCCAAATCAGAAAGTGGTTAGGAGGGCGAGCCCATCTGCCAAGATCCGGCTCGGCATCAATCAGCCAGCTTAGGTGGCACAGCACGCGTGTACAGCAATTGAATCTTGTCTGCAACCCCAATGGTCGCGCAGATGAAAGAGGCAAACAGGGCATGTCGCACTAAAATCCACCTGCTAAGCCCCAGATGCAGCAAGCTCTACTAATAACCCACCTGGTTAACCCCATCCTTGTATGCCTCATAGATGGGTTGCAAGCTCGGCAGCATCGCTCTCTTCTCAACAGCTATCCCCATCTCGGTGGCCAGGATGTTGATTGGGTCACTGATGACAGGAACTTCCGGCCGGCCCCAATCCGCTGGAGAGTCCACGAGCTTTTCTTGGGACTGCAGAATGGGTGTTATAATGCATTATGGTTTTCACAACTTCAGAGGTGGGACTCTCCCTTACCAGCTTTTTTCCATAAACACAAGACGCGGATTGCACTTGCCTCAATTGAAGCAATCTAAATCGGAGCAGAGTCAACGCGAAGCACTGCTCACATTGAGATCAATGAGCTGAGGGTTGTGCAATCTAAGTGAGTGCAGCATCAATAGGCAGCATCAATCAAACAGAAACGAACTCAGGCTCACGGCAAGCGCAGCAAGGACGCATGAGGAACCGACCAGGGGAAGCATCATCGATGCTGTCAATCACACCTCAACACAGCCGCCTGGAGGGATTGTTTAACCAGTGCACAGGTCTTTTGGAACATTTGTTTTTGGCTCAAAGGCCAAGGGAGCCCTCACCTGCGCTGTCACAATTAAGAGCGCCCCTCCGAGGCCCTGTAAGCGCTGCAGCTGCCCCATCCACTGCTTGACTTCGTGCACGCACCAAGGGCACCAGGGCCCCTTCTCGAAAAGGAGGCCCGTCAAGGGCCTGCTGCTTATCTGCTTTTGCAGCCAAGCCAGGGGGTCTTCTGGAGACAGGATGACCTTCTCGGGCATCGTCATTTTGAACAGCAGCGAAACAAAGACGGCTGTATAGGCGACGCAAACCGGCAATGGCAAACAAGATGACCGAGTTGCTGATGGGCCTTGATATCCGCGCTGTAGGAAACAGGACAGAACCTTCTAAGGTTCAGGAAACCACGGCTCTACAGCCCGTGCGAAAGCTCAAGGTTACAACTATGGCCAGGAGTATGTGAGCTCAATCACATTTGCGGCTGTGCATATGTCCCTGCTGTTTGGTTGTCAGACCTTTACTATCGTGCAGCGAAGCTGCCTGACTCCCTCTTGCAGCTGGTCGCAGGACCTTCCTTTGATATCCACAAGTCTGTGTTTCAGATCAGCCGCATCACTTGTTTGAGGAAAAGTGAAGGTAGTACAATCTTCGATGTGACACCCTGGTCAGGAAGGACAGAAAATCTGTGTACGTCCCTCGCTCTCCTCGAGTTGTGGACCTACGGTACCTTGGGGATCAACAATAGGCAGTCTTTGAGCTCACTGCATTTGCTTTGCCACAGAGCTTAAAGACGATTCTTCAGGAAGGGCCGCTTCCAGTAAGACTTCAAAACATGCTTGGAATCACCTTTTGCTCTGACACCAGACACCTTTCTGCCAATGGCTTTTGGAAGTAGCTTTCACCTTTCAGCTCTGCCTACCCGGCCCAAGAAATTTCTAGTGCTTGTAGGTACTCCAACGTTGTCAGCTTCCCAAGTCTTTTGTGGTAGAAAGGGGTACAATGGGTACCACTAGTGCAAGGCGCATCACAGCTCCAAAAACATGCATGGATTTGAGAGCAGACAAAGATTTAGGTAGTTTCTTTCGATAGCTGCAAAATTGCAGGCTGTCCAAGGTTTCGCTGCAGGATGGAATCACGCATGAAAGTCAACAATTGCCTTCCCACAACAATTGTCCCCCGCGTGCATTCCTGAATCCTGAATCCTGAATTCCTGATTTCTGAATCCTGGTTGCTCCTGCATTGTGGCATTTGTGCAGTGTGCAGTCCTGCTGCCCGCAGTTCCGGACCTCCGGTCCCCGGAAACTTCGAAATTGATGCATTATGCAGACCCGTGTGACCGTACAATTCAATCAATGCCATACGGTTACGATCCCCGAGAGGGAAAGGAACTAGAGAGACGCCACGTGGCAGCTGTAGTTACTGTGTTGCAAATGTTGGCTCCCGAGTCCCGACTCCCGACCCCCGAGATCTCAGATCCGCTCGGTGGGTCCTGCAAAATCTCTGAATAACCGCTGTATCGGAGAGCGGATCTCGGATCGCCGATCGCTCGTGACTGAACCCTGCGGGTCGTCAGTTCACACTAGAGCTAACAGGGGCCAAGAGCGGGGGCCCAACCCCTGGGTGAATGCGCTCCATCGATGTGCCAAACTGGGTCACAAGCCAAGCTACTCCTGGCAAGTGCTGGCAAGCTTCAACGAAGTGGAAAAGGTTCCCTGCATGCCAGCGCTTTTGGGAGCACTTTTGCCAGCACTTTTGGCAGCACCCCAAGTACTTTTCAAGCTGATTGGCAGGACGCCCGTTCCCAGAGGCACAGGTTTTGCTTCTTCGCAAGCCTTCTAAGTTTCAATATGGTTGCTAAAGCCTAAGGAAGTTGTGTCTAGAGACTAGACGAGCACAGATCCCTGGGAGCTGAAAGTGGCGACATATAGTTTGTTGCAGATTTAGCAGGGGTTGGTTTGCATGTGTGAGAGGGGAAATGTGTTGTACAAAGCGCCCTTCGTGCGAGCCGATGGACATGTGGGATTAGCACAAAAGTAAGAAAGTGAATGTCAAGCTTCAATTCAGTTCTGCATATGGATTTGCATGGGTGGTGACACACTATTCACAGAGAGGAAATTTGTTTTACGCCTAGCTAGAGGGAACAGAATGGCAATTCGCCAAGCACTTTGATAGTAATTAAGCTTTTCCCACATTGGTCCTTCCAAAATTTGGCAGAATACGGTGTTAAAGTAAGGTCTTTCCAATACAAATCGTTCCGAGGGGCGTTGCTGTTTGTTTCATCTGATCAAAGTCAAAGGTCTCCGAATCAAGGTCAAAAGTCCTGCAACGTTTCAAAGAAACGTCTGTCGAGGAATCAGGCATATTAAGAGGTGCAAATTGAAGAAGAGTGTGATCTAAATATAAAAAAAGGTAAAAGATGGGAGAGAGGGCAGACAAGAAGAGAGAGATTCTGTCGCCCCGGGACCCCATGGAATGGTGGGCCAATGAATTCAAGAGCCGGTCGCTGACGGGGCTCATTTGGGAGAGAGGTGACTGGTGCCCCTTCTGCCGCTACGATGTGAGCCAATGGAGGGAGCAATTGCCAAATTTGGAGGCTTTGGGGGGGACATTCTTTATAGTGACTGCACAGGTAAGAAATTTCTGCAAAGCCATGGTTACCTGGTTTGCATGGGAGTGTAAATGGCGCGGGCCTTAGTCATGCTGTAAGAACCAGTCTTGAGTGTTTGTTTCAGACAGCCGCAGTCTGAGCGAAAGCATCTTTTGGTTTTTGGGCATGTCGCCTGCGCACAATAGTCAGACCTTGCCTTCCTTAGCCGCTTCCAACAAGCTTGACTTCTGATCCTACGGAATAAACCCTCCAAGTGGTGCTACATTCCTACACGCAACACATACCTCACTTCTGTTCGTTCCAAGTCCAGCATGCTCATGCCCCGCCTTACCTGCCAGCTCGTAGAAGAAAGCTCGTGGTTTCAGTGCTCCGGCAATTCAGCCTGTTGATTGCAAATGTGGCCCGGGAGGCAGCTGAATGCAGGCTTTTTGTTTCAAAGATGTCGCTTGAAATATCCTCTAGGCCTCTGGTGAAGCAGTAGTTGCTGTTGCTTGGGTGTTGCAATCAAAGATCTCCAGAAGGCTGAGTCTCATTTGCAGCCCCATCTGCGAACACAGTCGGATAAGAGATTGTTGGCCTGACTTTGCAACGTGATATGTGATATTAACAGGATACCGTGCGGTCTGGTCTTTCTGCAGCTCCATTGGAGCGAGTTCCCACCGCCATGCCAAAATGGTGTGCAGATCTTGTGATTCAGATACTAAATAGCAATCTACTTGAAGCATGTAATCCAGTCGCAGGTTGCGTGACAAGCGATACTGTTACTCAATGAAGTTCTGTTGAGGTCGGTCCAAAGGGTTCCCTTCTGAACTGGTTACCACTCTGCCCGTAGCTAGATACTTTATTGACCTAACCCACTGAAGCTGTTCAACAAACCCAAAAACATTCAACCTTTTTCACTTATATATCTGCTTTGCAGATGTAAGGGACTTTGGCACAACATGGGCCGAACCCCCCGTCCCTGGCGGCTCAAACGCAAAAACTGACCCTTTGTTGCCTATTCCAGGACCAGGAGTCGCTCGAGCACTCAGCCAGCAACTGGGGCCTGGACCACTTGACCATCGTGAGCGACCCAGAAAACGTTTTGGCGCGTGAGTACGGTCTTGCAATCACCACTGAAGCAATCCGGGCAGGCGCGCAGTGCCACTACGAGCCTTACACCAACGGGGTGTGCCAGGTAAGACTGCCGGATCGATTCTCGGTGGGGCTCGGAGTTAGTGTTGGCCTTGCGTCGTTATGCTGATGAACGAATCGTTGAGAGGCAGGCGGTGCTCTTCTGACTGACGACAATGTTAGGTACGCCGGGTAAGCTGGAGATTTACATTGGAAAGCAGTCGAGACGCATAAGGGGATTGTCTCTTTGGTATCACTGATGGCATCGCGTAACTTATCGGAGTTTCCTAAGGACCCATAGGATACTGGCACCGTACGTGCCAGTGAGCAGCATGAGCAGATTCTTGATCGACCGGAAGTGGGTCCAGCTCTCTTGGTTTTTGGGGAGCGCAGCACACTCATGCCAGAACAAAAGCTTGCCCTGTTGTCCTCCGACTAACCTACTGCAACTTCAAAGTGCAACCTGACACATGATACCAACGCTCCATGCATACGCACTTGACCGCACAAGCTGAGCGGCAGAAAAATGCCCTCTCTAATGGGCACCTGACAAAGATTTTCTCGTTGGCGGCCTGCATCTGGTATTGGTCAATAATAACAAGCAGGGATGGAGATTCTCAACCCTCTTTACTCGATGGGCGGAACGACGCAGGTTTGTGCTTATGACTGCTGACCAACCCCACCTGGCTGCGCTTTGCAGCCGGGTTACGTCATCATGAACCAACTCGGGGTGGAGATTGCCGGCTGGCGGCAACATCCAACGGAGGGCAACAACGGGGGGGCGCTTGACCGGCCGATTCCCGGTGAGCACGCTCATCCGTTCCCCCCCTGTCGTATTTCTTCAATGTTCACCGCTTACCTACTGCTTCTACTTGCATCAAGCCGTTCTAGTCGTGCAGTCCTGGAAACTGTGAAGGCTTGTTTGGCCCGACTCCAGTGCTCTTGTTTGACAGCATCGCCTTTCATTAGCCTGGATCCCCTCTTTCTGTCCTCCCCCACGTGATCGACCACGTGGCCTCTGCTCCCTGTCTTCTGCGCCTTGCGTGCTGCTTCTCCTGACTTCCCCCGCTCGTTACGTGCGGTACTTTCTGCCCCTCCCTTTCCGTCTCCGCCCAGCTTTGCTCTCCAACTTCTCAAACTTCTGCCATGTGTGCCTTTACCGTCGCCTTCTCCCTGCTCCATCTACGTCCCTTGCGTCTCGTCATAGCGGTTGAGCTTTCTCTTGGGAAGATGTTTGAATCGCATGGCTCTACATTCTGCGTAACAGCGGTGAGGCTCAAGTTGATTCTAATTTGCACCAAAGTTGCGGCTTTCGCCTTTGTTCGCCGCGTTTGATTGAGAAAGACTTGCGTTTGCCTACTACTCTGATTAAGAACGTCAGCAATCGGACCGTTGTAGAGCTGGCTTCTGATAGCAGCACCGTTCAGTGTACGAGTGAGTCGCTAAGCTTGTCTAGCGAATGCACTGATCTCGCAATTGTGGCCCAGAAATCTAGACTGTTTGACAAAACAGTAAACAGGGTTCGAGGGACTCACTCCACCAGCAATCCGTGTTCGACTTGACTCGTCCTCACGGTTCGCACGCCTCTTGTTTGCAGCGCGGGTGATGAGCTTCGTCCGGTCTCACGTCAAGCAGACTCCCACGGAGGTCCAAGACCCGAACGACCCGCTCGACGATCTCGCCCAGTTAGTCGAAGAAGTGTTCGACGCGTTGCCGGAGGATATACAAGCACTGCTTCGAGAGCAGAACCGCCTCCCGTCTGATTCTAAGCGGATGGTCGCCCCGGATGCTTGCGAAGCGTGCGTCCAGCACTGTGCATGTCCGGCATAGACAAGAAGTGAAGATTGTCGCATGATTGAAAGTGTCAGTAGGACAACAGGTTTGAGCTTTGAGTTAAGGTAGTCGATGAAGCCGCATAGACTTCCAGTTGGTAATCCGCTTAGATGTTGGAAGAGTGTCGAAATGACTCGAGGGTTGACTAAAGAGGCACGCTCAGAGGCGCACGCTGGAGGACACTTGTGTACATTGTTTTGTTGGTCTAGTGTTGTTGTGACACCGTCAGATGAATAGCACAAAAGGGGCAAGGGCAATTGCGAATGATCAAAGCCGATAGCTGTCGAATCTGTCTTAACATACATGAGAATGTGCGATTAAGTGCACCATGTAATCCATACTTAATGATGCATGTGGCAATATATGATGCAGCATCGTTTGCACCCGGTATTCCCTTACATATATTATCGGTCCGTCAGTCACTTTCCAAAGTTCCACGCCACAAGCTACCTATGGTGGGTACCGGCCGAGTCAATTTTGACTCCGACCGCCACAAAATTGTAATACCGCGTATCGAATTCCGTCAGTGATACCGGCGGTTCACGTCACGGCAACTCAGGTTTCTGTTACTCGGGCGGTACAAGTACTCAGACAATATTGCTCGGCCGTAAGTCAGTGTTACAGGAGTGAAAGACAGTGTTATGTTTTACACTTGTGTGTGAGCATCAAACTGGCACACAAAGAAGAGCCTTATGCAGCCCATAGAAAGCTCTGACAAGCAAAGAAAAATGTTGGGAGAGCACCTTGAGGGTTTGTTTGAAGACCCAACATAAGGAAATGTCGAGGACAAATCGGAATAAGCACCATACAAGCCTCAAAGTCGGCCGGCATTGCTTGCTCTTGAAATGCGCCTTTTCCTACACTCTTCTTTCAACTTCCTGCACTCCTCTTTCAAGTTAAGTACCGCGGTACCCTCAGGTGGTTCGAGTCGGAACTTCCGACAAACACCATGAAATTTCAAATTTGCGGACGCGCAGACTTGCGCGGTACTGTACCGCCGAATATACCGGAGTTTACCGTTCGTCGACATGTCAGACAATTTCCAATTCATGAACTCGGACCGGATTCTAAAGTACGGCCGAGTACGGTCGTCAGTACCGTGTACATGAAATGTCGCGACGCGTAACACCGGTGAGTCAATTTGGTGACGGTACCGTCGCGCGATCGAGACCGCCGACACCCACCATAGGTAGCTTGTGGCGTGGACTGCGCATCATGGATGCATATATGCACGGCGAATTCTCTTGCAAGAATATTGCACGTACACATGGTTGAACGGCATGTCACGTACACTGCACATGCGTGCTAAGGTGAAGTCTGCTTTCGGACCGGTCTCAGCAAGGGCCTGACAAAGCTCAAAGCCAGCCGCGCGCGCGCAGCGCGCACAGACTTGAAAAGCATGTATGCACGATATGACAGTCCCCCATCCGATCATGATACATGAGGGATCCCCGAGCTCAAGCACTGAGCTAAGTGGGTGCATGACGGGGTACGTGGATCGTGCCAGCTACTGTAGTGTGTGTGAGCTGCATGGCCTCACGGTCATATATCTATTCAGTCATGTTTGACCCGTACATGTGGACCATATAGAACAGCCTGATGCGCCGCCGGAAGCGCGGCAGCTCTGCGTCTTCGGCAGTAATTCAATGCTTGCGAGACAAGCACCTCCTGTATCATCCTGACGTATGATGTTTTGTCGTCGCACTTGCTGGACAATCGACTATAGTGCGGCCGCGCGCCTGGCCGGGGTCGAAGCTTGGACGCTGCTGACCAAGCCTGCACGGACTCTGGCATCGACTAGTGCCCCGTCCCGGCCATCACATCCCCTCATCCGTTCTAGCACAATCATCCTGGCATGACAAAGATCATGCATTCTCAAGCCATGTGATGATGATTCAAACCAAGTTCGCGCGTCGTACAATTTTGAGTCGGCTCGAAACAAGACAAATAAGTTGAATGGCTGAGCTGCTGACAATCTAGAATTCGAACTCTTGTGCACTTCTGCGAAGTTTACTGTTTCTCAGTCCATGGCGTGTCTGTTTCCGCTCGCTTCGCAATCCGACCAGGAAGAAGGCTCCCCCGCAAAAGCCCAACAAGGCTGATGCATAGCCCTCCGGTATGGTCGAGAACAACCAGTTTGTACACCTATGGGGAATCAGAAACCTCGTCGGAGAAGGGCCGCCGCCATCGTCAGAACACCATTCGAAATGCCAAACATTCTGCTTTTTAGGGAACTGGAAAGCCGTAATGGTCTACCATTTTGTGCTTGACTGCTGGTTTCTCCGTTTCTCGGCGCAGCTTGTCAGCACAGCAGCATTCCTACAGAGAAATGCCAAACCGATGGCAAATCGTCAGGTGAATCCGACACGCAAGACCTGGCACGTTTGCCGTTTCAAATATGCCAAGCTGCTTGTCCAGGTTCGTCTTTTTGTTTTTGCTCTGGAGCATTTCAGATTCGATTCGAGCAATCGTTTTGGATCCGAACGACAGGCGTCCGGCGCAAAGCTCCGAATCAAGAAGAATTTCAAGCTGAATGACATTCTCAGTATTTCATCGGTTCCTCGTTCACCTCGAAGGCGCTTCTTCAACGTCATTTGCCAGGGGTTTCGCAATCGACACCGGAATGCAGGCGCTTCATCCCTCTGAAAGCTTGTGCAAGCAAATCAAATGCCAAAGGAAAGCTTCGCTTCTGCCTCTTGATGACATCAGGTCTCCACAACAGGTCTATTGACGTTCAGGATTGAACGATGTAACTTTTGTGTGGACAAAAGAAACGAAAACAACAGACGGTTGCTACCGTGCTTCTAAGATCAATCATCTTTCTCGAAAGCACAAAGAACGTAGTTGCCTTGCGTTTTATCTTAGTTTTGTGGATATTCCTAGGGCTTGGTGTCCTGGCAGTGCTTCTTGTGGCTTCTCCAGTGAAGCTTCTGATGTTCCTTGCTGATCAGAAGAAAGAGGAATCTGGTAGGACGCTCCCATGGCTCTAGAAACAAGCTGATTTAGATCGAGAAGCAGCTCATTTGAAACCGACACGAAGAGGTGCGTATTCTTTCGCTGCTTTTCAACCTTGTCATCTTGAGAAGAGCAAGATATTGGGAGCAAAAGCTAACAGTAGGATCCAATCTCGAGATCGTCAAATCAGGAAGCTCTTGAGCTTCATTGGAATCTTGATATGATCAACGAGCTATGCATCAGATTCGAGCAGATTTAACAGCTATGAGTAAGGAAACACATTGTGTTCAGGATCAGCTTGAGATTACAGCTTGCAAGCAAGCATGTCAAGCAAGCTCTTCCACCAGAATTTGATTTCAAAGATCAAGCATCAGGCAGTGCCCCAATCGTCTCACCTGCAGTAGTAAGCCAGCATGCAGCTCGAGCACTTGCTGAACGGTCTGCCTGCGTCCACCACAGAGCCAGTCTCGCACAGCTCCCAGGAGCACACGATTGGCGCGCCAGTTCGACCGCTGGCCCAGGCTGTTAAGGACTTCGCAAAGGTCTGAGGATCTTGGTTCGGGGCGCCGGAGAATAGGCCGTTCGCAGCTCCTGCGACAGGTCCTGTTGCTGTCAGGTGCGCCTTGACTGACTCCAAGTACTCCGTTCGCAGCCGTTTCACTTCCCGCCGGTTTCCACGTGACTCCCTTATCTTCTCGTCGAGATCTAGGAGCATCTTTTCACCTGATGCGATGTACCAGCGTGTTGCAACGCTGGTAGGATCCGGATAGTTGAACATCTCTACGGCTGCGTTGTCTGCTTCAATAACTCCCTCCATCCCCAGCAGCCTCTGAATCGCTGCGTGGATCCGAATCATTCCCTTGTCAAGGGCCCATTGCTGGCTGTCTTCAAACAGGGCGAACGTGTCCATCAGACGATGCATGTATTTCACCGTCTTCCTGAGAATATCTGTGCTCGCAAGCTCTGTGATCTCGCGCGCGACCAGGCTCTCGAGAGCAGGGAAGAGGCCGTCCAGCTCCTGCAGAACCAGGCGGAACGTCCTGGAAGCGCGAGAGAAGTTCACAAAGCCCCTGACGTTTTCTACAGCCAGATTCAGGTACTTGTATCTCTCGCCCTCTCCGCTCGGGTCTTCAACTAGATGATCTGGAATGTACCTCTTTCCGCGCAGCTGATCCGGAACGACGTTCATGAGGATCGTGTGAGAGTCCAGGAGCGCTCTCGCAATGACACGCGTCTTGTGCTCCTCCCTCACGCAGTACTGCGCGACCGCCTGGTTTTCGCTGAGTGCGACAAGGACCGTCGTGGAGTAGGTTCGGAGCTTTCTGATCTCTGTTGCAGCATTCGGAGGAGCTCTGCGCATCTGCTGCAGAATCTTGTGGATCACGGCGCCGCGCTTGTAAGCCAAGAGCTCCTGGAGCAGCCGGGAGAATCTGATCCTGGCCTCGGAAGTGTAATCTGCTTCGACCCGCAGCGCTTCAATGTACTCTACAGCGACTTTCAGATCCTCATATCTTTCTGACTGCAGCTTATTGGCGTGATACTCAACTATGTGCTCCATCGCCGGCAATTGCTGGACGTTGACGGATATGTCATGCGGCGCGCCCCACAAAAGAATGGTCCGGTTCGCACGAGCAACTCATCCTGGTGCGGAAAGAGACCCTTGCGCCCTTGGATGGGCACTTCAGCAACACCTGAGTCTGCTCCAGCTTATAAATGTCGGCTCAATTTGTCCAATCACGGTTGCTCTTCCTTCCCGACTCAACTTGAATCGGAGGCTGCAGCGAGACGACAGAAACAGGAGAAGCCCCTGATCTGGAGTCTGTGAACGTCCCATCCATGCATCGCTATCGGATCGCTCTTCATCAAAAGTTCGGCCGGCGGACTGATTGATCGACGCTTCCGAAGCGCGTGTGCTGTGCATGCCGCAGATTTTACCCACGTTGGTGCTCTATTATCAGTGTATACGCGATCGCAAAGCTTGCTGACGTGATGCTTCACCTGAGACGTAACCCGGACCGCGTGAACTGATTTATCATTTGACCGTCACGGCTGACCTAGTAAGGCCACTCTGACTTGTCCTATGCAGCTAGGCCCGCAATGTAAATCGTGACAATGATGTATAGTGAAACCAATAGTAGCTGGCCCGGCGCGTTGTCCTCAACGTGCGCCCAGGCCGCCGGCGGCGGTTGCAGAACTGCATCATGGCATGCTTGAAACTGCTATAATACGAACACGATGCTTTGAAAGCACGGTGTATACTGTCTCTAAGATAAGTCTAGATTAGGCCCGCTAGTAGAGCCCGACTTATCAGCTTGGCACATGCGCACCGGTCAAGCATCGTCGGATGAATTTTCTGCTATTCTCATATGTGCATATCTGACATAGAGGCCGCCTTTCAAGCTAAGCGACCGATTGCTGCAGAACGACCCGCGGTTCATGTTCTTTTGGGTGGCCAATGACTGATCGAAAGCCCTCGGTCCGGGATCATTCCGAGGTATCTTTCAGTAGCGTCGGACGGTCAATCGATCCGTCGATCTTCTATGATGTTAGCTGGCATATATTATAGAAAATTCTGCACGCACTAAGTTCGCATACACCGGGCCGTCAAGTCAACCACTCAATGACCCTCATGAAGCATGCTTCCATGGATCGGACACGGATGCAGCCGCCCAGATTTGCACAATAAAGGCTAAACAATGTCATTAAACAAATGCACTGAAGTTGCCATCATGACTGGGCCTTGAAAAACAGCAAACTGAGCTGTCGAACTGTGTCCCTGAACTAAGGACTGCGTGAGCCCTTGGCGGAACCAACAATCATCATTATGCGCACGCCACTTCAATATGCCCTTTTGTGCTTTTTGCCCCACTGAGCGCAAACGCTCGAACTGCCACATGTCAACCAACCCAATCGCTACCGTTATTAACCATACTCTTCCACCCCACGCAAGCTCGTTCGAAATAATATACCTGGTTCGCTTCGCTTTCATCCGCTTCCCTACGGACTCGGTTCCGCCTCGGAGCGAACCCCAACAAGGACGTTAAGATTTGCCCTACCACAATCTTCTCACAACCTTACTTTGCGGCTGCAGCTTTCTTCCTGTTTTTGTCCGCTTCGGCTTTCGCCTTGGCCATGGCGTCGAGGTGCTTCTTGCGGAACTCCTGCATCCGCTCATGTTCCGTTTCGTCCGCAATCTCTTGCAGTTGCGCAAGCCCCGGGATCGATGCCCGGAGGTTCCGTGTTTCCCTTCTGTCTGTAGCACGAGGCAAGAGAATGGTCGTTAAACTCGAACGGGTGCTCGTCAAACCTGTCCGAGAAAGCACCGAGTCGGACCCGTTGGTAAGCCTGCTGATGCTTTTTGAGTCTCAAGACGACTCGGGTCTTGATAACCAGGCTAACGATGACTATATTTCAACATGGTGTTGTCGCCATCAGACGTGACCAGATAAAACGAACGCGGGCAGACCCCGGGAGAGTTCCAAATCAGTACGCCCAAAGTACGTAGAGGTCGGGTTCAGGTGTTAGCGAAAAGCAGACGAGACCACTCTCAACCACCAAAGGATAATGAGGATGAAAGAAATTTGTCACCGAGACTTTCAGTCAAGGTCATAGTCAAGTTCTCCAAAGCTTCAATCGTGATGCGGAGTCCTCACTAACTACCGTCATCAGAACCAAATGCGTTTGGCAGAGTTTATAGCAACGTCTGATTTCCTCTTGCAAAGCCCCACGCTGAGTCTAACAAGTCAAAGGTGCATTTCGGTCGTCAGAAGATTCAAAGTCCCTTCTAGCCCAGTAAAAGCTTTCTGAAAGACCAGACCTGATACAACGGTCATCCTCTTCCCGCAGCCAGTTCTCATAATGGAATAAACCTCGCTAACAGCTAATCCGTCGAGTGTCGAGCAGAGAGTTCCACTAGGTATCCGATAAACAGGTCGCTGTACCGATACTGGATGGCCTGCTCATCGTTTTTGAATCCAACTTTCGGTGGGATTGATCAGGGTCGCTGGGTGTGTTATGAGAATGCCACCGCAAACAATTTTGTGGCGGCGCTGATGCCGCCAGAGACTCAAGCTAAGCGAACCAGTGCATAATAGAAATCAAACCGGTACACTCTGTCTTACATACGAGATTAAAGTCATTGTCTTCAGAATCTTGGATGTAAAGTAGTGGGCGCTTGCCGGAGCTACTGTCTTGAGGGAACGGGGCAAAGGCTACTGCTCTCCACCCTCTCTGCTTTGAAGCATAACAGACTCAAAACTTGAGATGCATCTTCTTAGACGTGTACGAAGTAGTGGGACTTACCTACGAACTGAGTGAAGACCCTCGTGAAAAGGCCGAAGTTACGAGAGAGGCTCCGTCGGAGGGGGGTAGGCAGAGGTGCCAGGACGTTGTCAACGCTGAACATGTGCTTGAAGAACTGAAATGGAGGCAAAAGGCTTTAATATATCATGTGCTGGAGGAACTAATAAACAAGGCTTGGGAGAGTGAATGAACAAGGATACTTCCAAAATAAACAGCACCAGCGCGTGTAGGACAATGAAATATCCGCTGGTCACTCGGCAGAGACTTGAAAAGTCCCATACATTCAATGTGTACGACAGTTACTTGCCAATCGATGGGACAAACAGGGAATCGCCGTCTGTAAGGGGCCATGATGGGGCGTGCGGGTTGCCAAAACCCATCCCCAAAACACGGTTTTGTGTTCTGGCCAAAATCAAGGGGAAGAAACTGTGCGATGCGGAGGAAACAATGATGCATCTCCCACCACTGAGGCTGACAGCACATCGGGTAACTAGCGTCCAGACCTGATTGTTTGCAGAAAACGAGATTGAAAACCATGTGTCTAAGCACTCATTCTCCAGTGCGCGACCAGCTCTACAATTTTGCTCCTCAAACCGGGCTCCCGCAAAACAACACCACCAAGTTGGACAGCACCACCGGTTCTCCAGCAGCGCCGCCGCACTTCCATTCATCCGTATCCAGCAGTGTGGCATTGCACTTTGCACAGCGCTTGCGCAACAGACTCGTCTGCATACGAGAACTCACTCTCATGTTCTTGTCAAAAGCAGCTACAAGGTCCGGGTCAAACTCAAACATGGCGCCCCAGTCGCTGTCCGCTTGGCCGTCCACTGCTCTCACGTCAGCCCCCAGCGCCCCTTTCCTCCTGCCTTCCCGGAGCAGCGCTTGCCTCACGGCATTCCTGCTCGCTCGCAGCCTGCCTCCCCCCTCGTTGTTTCCCCGGTTGAAAGGGTTTTGAAAACCCCGGTTGAACGGGTTTGGTAAACCCTGGGGACCCTTGCCGGCCCCTGGGCCCGGCCGCCGGGGGTTGTCCCTTCTACTAGTGGTGGCCATTTTCTTGTCGTGCTAATGCTCCACGTCAGAACTGATGACAAGCGGGGCTGTATCAGAAGTTGTACCTGTATTTGGCTGCTGGCTATTTGGTAAGTTTTGAAGGTAGGGGAAACAGGAGGCGTCTCACAACGCCTTCACATCATGCAGGCTTTTGTTGTTTGCTTCTTTTGTTCCGTACTCGTTGGGTTGCTCAGCTAAAGGCTATGCGCTAGCTTGCTGAGTTGCTCAGCCTCGGGCCCTTCCTTTTGAAGAGGTGGCTTGACACCAGCTGTTTCCGTTTGGTCAAAGTTTGGTTTCAGCGGAACAAAGAATTGCAGTCAGGAGGAGATCTGTTGTTAGCACAGAGGTGCTCGCCTGCTCCGCTGCTCCGCTGCTCCGCCAGGGACTTCGGAACTAAGTTTAGTGTCGAGTTTCCGTTGAAAAGGAACTTGCTTGCGCGGGGATGTTGGAATTTGAACAGTCTTCAAGTTCAATGTGGCTTCTTTGCAGAGAAGGCGAGAACGCGCTCTGTCCTCTGGCAGTTGCTTCGGAAGATTTGTGCACTGCAGCTGTCTCCATCAGAAAGGTGATCGAGAAGCAAGAATGCCTGAAAGAGCAAGCCGGGCCAAGAGCTATGCGCATTTGAAAGGGGCTGATCAAAGAGGACGTTTTTAGGTGTATTAACCAAGGGTGCCCAGATTTGGATTAGACCCCTTCGACAAGTAGCGACTCGCGATTTTCGGACTTTGCAGAAATTCCTTAAGCCCAGTAGAGAGTGGAAAGGCCTATGCCAACCTGAGAGAAAACTTCTTTGTAGTATCCAAAGTCAGCTTGCAAAGTCGGAAGTGTGAAGCGTTGACATGTCAGCAAGTACCTGTGCCCGGGGGGGGCTTGCTTCCTGCAGCAACCGGGTGCATGGCACACAAGCAAGAACCGACAAGCCGGTAAGTGCTGAGCAACCTGCTTCGAGCTTGTTACTTGCAGCCTTGAAGGAAGGTCCCTCCCTGGTAATACCTCTTTGTCATTTCATGAAATCCTCAGCAATCCCAAATTCATCCTCTGTGGTCCCACATTCTGATGGAGGAGACTTTTGGACGCTTGAATATGACGCGGTAACATGTTGCTGTTGGTAAGTGGGGAGCAAGGATTCGCCTGTGCATTCATTGCTTTCAGTTTTGGGAAAGGCCTTTCAGGATGCTCAGAGGAAAATATGTAGTCCCCCCCGGGTTCTGAGCGCTGGTCCTTGTCGGCCTTTGCGCACCAACAAATGAACAGATTGCAAGGTTAACTTCTGATCTCCCCTAGTTTGCAATCCTCCTTGGCAGGTCTTGCTTCCGCTGGTTATTTTCGAGCTCCTAGGAGAACTGCCACTTGCATTTGGGTTTACCAATGAAGCCGGTTTTAACTGATCTGCTTGAAGGAATTTGTATTTACCAATCAGCCTGCGTCAGCAATAGTGAGGCGCGAACGCTCTGCTGACCAGGACTCATCAGCTTGATGACTTTCCTCTTTTGCGGTGCCTTTCTTGTTGCTTGGACGCAACACATTTCACCCTCAATATACATCACTATGACGAACTCCAGTGAGGAATCTTCTTGAGCAAAGTAGGGCCGTGTTCCAGTGTGCCACCCGAGTCCCTGCAGTCATTTATCTACCAGAATATGACGTCGCCCTAGGCCTTGCTAAGTTGCTTCAAGTCAAGACAACTCGCCATGTATGCCACTTACGTACTTCCAGTCTGCACCGCTAACTCTTCCGCCGCCTATTTGCAGGATGGGTTGCCCTCCCTCCGGCATCCTCTGAGGATCCATTTCGCCACACACTCCGGCCTCAAGTGTCTGCACTTCCCCAGAAACCCCGAACCCCCACACTCTGTCTCCGGAAAGCATTCCCCAGCACAGGCCAGCACTGGGCGCAAGGCTGCAAAGCCCAAGCCTGAGGTCGCGGAAGCGGCGCTAGAGGAGGACCGGCCCCCTAGGTCCTTCTGGGAGAAGCTAGTTGCGGCGTTTGAGATCTTCTTCCCCCCAGCCCAGGTTTGTACTCTGGACTACTTCCATCTGTGCTTCATTGTGACAATCCTTGCATAGAGCCAGCTTGTTTGAGCCGGCTGTGGGCTTGGTTCTGCATGGTACTGGGCTCGCCAACGGTTTGCTGCAGCTTCTCTGTGCAGTCACCTTGTCTTGGTCTTTCCGAAGCTGGCTCCTTTGGTGGAATACCTTATGATCTGCTCTCAAGTCTGTAACGAACTTAAGAAATGCTGAGGGAGGATTCCTGTGCACTGTGACTTATGTTGGCTTTTTCACAATCCCGTCCAGAAGCATGGATGCAATCCAGGCGGTCAGGCTGCCAGGATGTACGACCCTAAAGCATCTCTTTCTGGTTCACTTCAGTCACCGATTTCAGCAAGTTGCTGTCGCACGGGTTGGGGTGAGAGCACATCCAGAAAATGCCACGTCGGCACCATCAAATGTCCAGCTTTGAGCGGTCTTCTCTCACAAGTCCATAACTTAAAAAATCAACAATTGAAGGATTCAACTTCCACAAAAGCCGACAAAAGAGACATTTCACGCTTGTGCAGGTCCAGGAGGCCCCGCGGCAGCGCGCAAAGCAGCGGCTGCGAATGATTCTGGTGGCCGACCGCTGCAGCGTGTCGCCCACGTCGGTGTCGCAGATCAAGAAGGCGATCGTGGAGTCGCTGTCCAACTTTGTGGAGATTGAGCAGGTGAAAAGCTGGCCACATTTATTTAGATTCGTAGTCACTAACAGGCTGTCCTTCGTCGAGAAGACCGTGCTTGGCCTGTTTGTATGAGCAAGAACTCTTCAAATGAAAAGGGGCTTGTTGGGCAATTGTCAGAGGCTATGGGCATTGACAGCTGAGAGCCCAGCTAGTGCGCAACTTGTGCATCGAGGGTTGGGTAGCAGTCGTTTCCTCCCCCCCCTAGTTTTGAATCTGGTTAGGAAATGCATGGTGCACTGCGCCAGTACGTTCGAAACGTGGCTGATCTTTGCAGTTAAAGATACTCAGCTGGTTTCTCAGGGGCCTTTTGGGCCCTTTGAAGCCCCGGATCTCTTCCAGAAGCCGGAATAAGAGAACTGTTTAAACCATAGTCATGCGTCTTTAGAGGGTGGTCAGAGGGCAGTCAAATGTCAACAGGCTGAAGTTACCTTTACGAGTTGCATATTTGCAAATGGGTCCGTACGCTTTAGAGGTCGATGGTCAGCACGCAAAACACGAACTGACTTATCAGGTTGAGTACGATTTGCCACCTGGTGCGTCATCATGAAACTGTGGTCCAGCCTGTTTGCCATTCCGACTGAGGGCGGGTCTTGACTTGTGCCTTTGGCAAATGATAGATGAGGGCATACTCGAGTTTGTGATGTACCGGCGACCAGAGAGAGTGGAACTCGTCATTCTTGGCCGCTAGCTGAAGGCAGGGATCACGGTCTTGATACCGTCCGTTGACGTTCTGAACACAATCGTGTGCTTGTTGCCACTTTCAAGACTCTGATGCCACTGCCTTTCATAGCGGACGCCCTTTTTCCAAATGGCTTATACGACTTTCGCCTCTGTTTGCAGGAGGACAAGGTGGACCTGAACATCACGACGGATCCCAATCTGGGGACCATCTACAGCGTCAGCGTGCCGGTCCGGCGGGTGAAGCCCGAGTTCGACATCCAGACCGAGTACGAGAACAAGGAGTTTTACTTTGACAGTGACGGCGAGCAGATTCGGTCGTTCGATCTGAGCTTTGAAGACATGCAGCCGGATGTTGTGGGGTCAAAGGACGGCGCTAGTGTGCCAGCGCCAAAGTTGCCGGACGCAGTGCAGCGACGGAGAGGGCCCGTGTTGCCTGATGCACCATTCGTGGATGGCAGGGGGCCGCCTGATGGGCCTACTTGAGTTTCGATTTTCAGTTAGGACTGTACATTATTGTAGTGACGTAGAATTAGCCACTGCATGTTTGACGTTTCCTCACCGGGAACATGCTCGGGGAACAGGGGACACGCTTGGGTAGTCGATGAATGGTGCAATCGAACAGTTTACAAGGATGTGCTTCTCTAGCAAGCGAAGTGTCTGCCACTTCAAAAGACAGACTAGCTTGGTACCTGATGATGTAAACAGGAGGTCCGTGCTCAAAAAATGAAGCCCGGGCACACACCCAGACTGAGTACCGGGGTAGTCTACAGGAAAGATTGCTCTTAAAGTGGGCGTCCGATTTCAAAGCTCCGGAAATGCCTACTCCGTGCATCTGAGTCCTTTTTCAACGGACCCGATTGCAAGTTCGGCTATTTCGGGGCCCCATCGCCGTCGGTGGCCTTGGGGTGTCCATGCATGCCCTACGCCCACTTGAACTTGCCAGACGTTTGAGTTGCCGCACACCCTCACACTAATTGTTTCAGCTCATGATGTACACCAGTACTATACTGAAGCTGAAACGTTGTAGATGCAACGATTACCAGATCCACAGTCAGCAACATATGCTAAGTTCCAGGCTCGAATACACTTTCTTGCATGAATCTACATCAAGTATGCTACACCTGTCCTGATGCATTGGCAATTATTCAAGCAGTATCATGCAGTTCTGAAACGGTTGAAGCTTTTTGAAAAGCTTCACTGCATTCGAGAACTACATTAAGAATACCCGGCATTCCATGATCTCTAGAACAACTCTAACGGCAAGGGCAATTCAATGCGGCAGCTAAAAATGCTTTTCAGCTGCGCACAACCGAATGGGGCGGAATCCCATCGCATGCACATGAATCGTATCCCAACGAAGTTCCGGACCTAGACAAGCAACAATCACATGAAGAGGTGGACGGTCACAACACCTTGCGACTGTGGATTGCAACAATTACTATGGGGCCAGGCAACTGTCCGTACAGTGCAAAAGCTGTCACTGTGCGCGCGCTTATTACGTTCTTGCAATCAGTCCATACTCATGACTCTACCCAAACACTACAGTCTGCGTCTAACAGCGAATCTAGTCGACCTCCTCGATCTTGGGGCCAGGACCAGTGGAGCCGGCATGGGCGCCAGCATCAGCACCATCATCGTACTCAGCACCTCCGCCAGGGGCAGCACCGCCACCCTGGTACATCTTGGAGATGATGGGGTTGCAGATGCCCTCGAGCTCCTTCATCTTGTCCTCGAACTCGTCAGCCTCCGCCAGTTGGTTCTGCAGGATGTCAAAAAACAAGAACTAGATCAATACATTGATCAGAAAACAAAGAAACACGTTTCTGAACTCAAGTACATCGCCAAACAAGCAGATTTTCGGCCAATATCTCAGGGGAGAGAAAAGATTAACACTCTGATCACACACAATCAAACACCCTTCGAGCCAAGGTAGGTACACCTCCAAACATGCAAACAGACAAGTTTCTGGCTTATACATAAGACAGAAAACCTCAACTCTCGAGCAAACTCCCACGTCGGGAATTAGACAGTGAAAAATCCTACAGCCCTCGTTCAGGGTGCCTAGTGCACTCCAAAAGACATCTCGTGCAAGATCCGAAATTCAAAGGCGAAACACAAGACTCCCGCCTGTGTCAGCACAAGATAGCGAGGTGTCTTCAAAGGCAACTTCAAACAAAGAACAAACACACTTGCTAAAGAATAGCGACATGACAAGTGCACTTACATGGTCGAGCCACTCGATGACACCATCGACAGCCGTCTCGATCTTCTCCTTGTCGGCGGCGTCGATCTTGCCGGCAATCTTGTCGTCCTTGATGGTGTTCCTCATGTTGTAGGCATAGTTCTCAAGGGCATTCTTGTGCTCAACCTGTGTCCAAGAAGACAAAACGGGTAAGCTTTCACTTTCACAAGACAAAAATAACCAGGAACTCACATCAAGTAGAACTCCGCTCACCTAAGCATCTGACCAGTCTGCATAGTCTCCCCCCCAACCACCAGCTGGACCAGCCATCTGATAACATCAAAAGAAACTTCCTGCAACGGAGTACCTGACAGCAAAACCAGTGCCCCCAGTACAACGTATACACATACAGGGCCTTCCGTTCCCTGCCCTTTGCCCATGTATATTGCCATGTACGAGCTCCAGCAAATGGGCAAAAGAACAAGTGGGAACGGAGACCCGAAGTGGTCACTTACCTTCTTCTTGTGCTCCTCATCCTCTGCCTTGTACTTCTCAGCGTCCTGGACCATCTTCTCAATCTCCTCCTTGCTCAGCCTGCCCTTGTCATTGGTGATGGTGATCTTGTTCTTCTGTCCGGTCGTCTTGTCCTCAGCAGACACGTTCAGGATACCATTGGCTGCATGACAGAAGGGAAAGTTTGAGAACCAAGCTCAACCCAAACTAAGACAGAGACTATGTCTGGTCAGTAATCTAATCCGAAGCTTCATTGACCACAACCTAGAGAAAGACAAAGCATCAAACCTCAAAAGGAACTCAAAAGCATATAACACGAGCTCGACAACCAACCCCTGTCCACGCGTGAGCTCAAGCTCAGAAAATCTGGCCAACAGTAAAAGTTCACTCACCATCAATATCGAAGCAGACGTTGATCTGGGGCACACCACGGGGAGCGGGGGGGATGCCAGAAAGCTCGAACTTGCCCAGGAGGTTGTTGTCCCTTGTCCTTGACCTCTCACCCTCATAGACCTGCAAGATTTATCAAAAGGTCAGAAGGTCAGTCATGGCTATCAAAATCACCACCAGCTACTTATGCCACCAGCTGAGTTGCCTATTACAGGACTCTTCTTAAGAATCAACAGGCCAAAACACAGCAGAGAACAAGTCCTATGAAACCACAATAGCGGCCAAGGTGAAGGGTCATCTCAAAACCCTAATAGCTGCATAAGCAGAACCCAATCCCAGAAGATACCAACAACAGGGCAAGCAGCCCTGACATCTGAGTAAGCCTCCCCAACAATGAACTGGCACCCTTCCTGCAGCTTCTAAGATCCACGGTTTACGAATAAGGACAAAGTGCCATACCTGAATGAGCACGCCGGGCTGGTTGTCAGAGTAGGTGGAGAAGACCTGCTCCTTCTTGGTGGGGATGGTGGTGTTCCTGGGGATCAGGACGGTCATGACACCGCCAGCGGTCTCCAGACCCAGGGACAAGGGGGTGACGTCGAGGAGCAGCAGGTCCTGCACCTTCTCATTGCCCTCACCGCTGAGGATAGCGGCCTGGACGGCAGCACCGTAGGCAACAGCCTCGTCGGGGTTGATGCTCTTGCACAGCTCCTTGCCATTGAAGAAGTCCTGGAGCAGCTGCTGGACCTTGGGGATACGGGTGGAGCCACCGACCAGGACGACCTCGTGCACCTGGGCCTTGTCCATCTTGGCGTCCCTCAAGCACTTCTCGACGGGGTCCATGCACTTCCTGGAGAAAGAAAGTAGGTTGGTCAGAATTGGGAACTCGTCACATTGCACTTAAAGCACAATCACAAATAGAAGCAGTCACCTCAAATAACATCAATAACATGTAAAAAAGTACAAACTAGCGGCAAAGAAGGCAACTTGTAAGCCATGCACACTACATGAAACAGATTGAACCGGACCACCATCCGAACCAAAATTACCACCAGATAGAACTTTCCCAGGACAGGGAGACTTTCTCAGAAAAAGCACTTTCACCACAAGAACTACGGGCTTGCAATCAGCCAGACAATATCGACACAACACAAGCAGAAAACAACAACAGATCTAAACAGTGTACAAGGCGAAGCTTTCAAACATTCAAACTGCAGAGTATTCAGCAACTGTAAAACCTGCTAGGAAAGGAATTTGGGAACGTACTGAACAACCCTAAGTCAGCTCAACAGGAGACGTACCTGAACATGTCCATGTTCAACTCCTCGAATCTGGCCCTGGTAATGGTTGAGTAGAAGTCAATCCCCTCGAACAGTGAGTCGATTTCGATGGTGGTCTGAGCTGTAGAAGACAGGGTCCGCTTAGCGCGCTCGCATGACGTCCTCAGCCTCCTCAGAGCCCTGGCGTTACCACTAATATCCTTCTTGTACTTCCTCTTGAACTCCTGAACAAAGTGGTTGACCATCCTGTTGTCGAAATCCTCTCCTCCCAGATGTGTATCTCCTGACGTGGACTTGACCTCAAAGATACCCTCCTCGATTGTCAGCAGGGACACATCGAATGTACCACCCCCCAAATCAAAGATCATGACGTTCTTCTCTCCTTGGCTGGTAGACTTCTTGTCCAAGCCATAGGCGATCGCGGCTGCCGTCGGCTCGTTGATGATACGCATGACGTTCAGACCAGCGATGACACCTGCAAAAGCGATTTGGAGATTGTGAATAACTAAGCAAGCAGCGGTGTCCATCAGAGAGGAGACAAGATACATAGATCTCAGCAAAACTTACATGTTACATGATATCACCTCAGATTACAACTAGAGATGTTGACCTGAGCTCAAAAGTATGCACCAACAATCTCTTGGTCAACCCTTTGCTCACAAGCATCACTCAATCATTTGCCAGAACAAAATCGCTTTATCAAGATGGAGGGAACTGCCAAGAGCAGGAAGCAAGTAGTTGTTCTCCAACATGCTGAAGAAGAGTGCGAGTTGCAGCACTTGACCCGCAATAAGCAGATCTGTGCGTAGCTGCCATTCAAGTAAGAGAAGCACCCTTACCTGCATCCTTCGTGGCCTGTCTTTGAGAATCATTGAAGTAGGCGGGGACTGTAACAACGGCGTTCTTGATTGTGCTTCCCAGGTAGGCCTCGGCAATCTCCTTCATCTTCACCAACACCATGGAGGACACCTCTTCTGCAGCAAACTGCTTCTTCTCCCCCTTGTGCATGACGTTGATCATGGGCTTGTCAGCGGCCCCAGGAACAACCTCAAAAGGCCACAACTTGATGTCACTCTGAACAGAGGGATCAGAGAACTTCCTGCCAATCAACCGCTTGGCATCAAACACGGTGTTGGTGGGGTTCATGGCAACCTGGTTCTTGGCGGCATCACCAATCAACCTCTCAGTATCTGTGAAGGCGACATAGGAGGGTGTTGTCCTGTTTCCCTGGTCGTTGGCAATGATCTGCAAAAGAACCAAAGAACTATTGTCAGATATACTGATCCACAATAAGACAATCAACCACAGATGGAAGACAAACAGCAAAGAGATGAGCAGTGAAAGCTCAAAGCGTCAAGACAAAGACAGATAAAGATAGAAGAACAATACTATCCGTTACCAGTTGCCGAGAATCTTTGATCAAATGGCAGATCTATTGACAGCACTACTGATACAAGCCTCCAGAAGGATCTACACAACATAACGGATAAAGATGGTGGAGGAATTGCATACCTCAACACGATCATGCTGCCACACACCAACACAACTGTATGTGGTGCCAAGATCGATCCCGACAGCGGGACCCTCTCCCTTTCCTGCCATTGCTGCAGCTTCTTGCCTGTGCTAGCTTTGCTTTGCTGTACTCCCTGCTTTCGCTCGCGTTAGAAGGCGGCTCGTACGCTTGTCAGATGCGCGTCAGAAAGTCGCTGGAATGAGGAATCCCCTCGCACAACCCACCCCTTTCACAGAGCTCTGCGGAGATGCTTGCTCCTAGCGACAGGCTTGTTATTCGACGCGCAGGCTTCTTCTTGCTTCAGTAGACGACAGCCCTGTCACTGTGACTGGAACATGCATTCGAAAGATATCGCGTCGAAGTGAGATCTGCTTTACGTATCAGTGTCGGTTGCAGACAATTCTGAAGCGGGGGGGCATTCTACCTTCCTTCACACCCCCTCCTTTGCTCTGAATTGGTCATGTGCATCTCTAGCGGACTGCACTTGCTGACACAGCATTGTCGGCAGGGTCTGGAGACCTGTGGAGTCGACTTGAGACCTCTAGAACTTTCAAGGCGGCAAAACGTCTCGAAACTTCGCCGAATCGACGGACAGAAAGCTGCTACTGGGTACAGAACACCATCGACGGTGGGAACTCTAAGTTCAAAAAGGCTGAGTCCATAGCATGCGGGACTCCGAGCCGTTCGATGGAAGAACAACCAACCTACGGCTCACGATCTATTGCACTTGCTAACTTACAGGCCGGTTGCGCTCGATTGCTCATCTCTCAGTGTATTAGCTTAGATTCCTACATACCTTACCTGGGAAAGTCTACAATGATAACTCAATGGAGACATTTTTCTTTCTTCTTACATATCTACTGGCATTCAGTCATTTGCAGACCCGCGGCCCTGTAGTACCGATCCTTCAGACTTTCAATACTTAAGCATTATCTCACTTTATCACAATGGAAATGCTCTCGTTGTTGGCCTGCATGTCTCGCCCTGTCCAATGCGCGGGCCATATATAACGGTGTTAGATTGTGACCATACACATCATGCATAAGCCTTTGAAGCTTTAGTCACTCGACGTGAGAGAACAAACAGTTTCAAGATGTCAAACCCCGGGCCCGTGGCTTCTAAATATAGTTAACTCCACTGACTTCAAAATATAGATGTCGGAAACGATTAAATCAATTGACAGCTTGATTCCAAATCTTGCATGAACCGAAGTTGTACATGACCATTCAACGTCCCCACTCATGCGACAAAACTGACTATCTATATGAGTCTCAACCCCAAGCTTATGTGGTTTACCGTCCATGAATGCATAGACACAGCCGTTGACTTGAATTGAACATAGAAAAGGCACCACATGAAGATCAGAGCGATTGACCGGGCAGGAACCATACCGAGAAAGAAACGCCTCTAAACAATTGGTTGGAAGCTTTGAACCTACTTACTCTGTAACAAGCTCAGGAAAATGACCGAGCAAAGAATTGGAGAAGAGAATTCTCGTTATTCGACCTACCTCAACCCGCAAACTAACCTTGTCAAGTGCAAGTTACAAATACATGCTTCTGAACTCAATCGTGCAACTTGCAGGGAGTTTACACAAGCTTAAACTGACTTCAACACAATTTCTAATTCGTGGCTGCTTCTTTCTATCAACTTCCTGACTCTGAATGCTTCCACAAGCGAGGTTGCAACTCGTTTGGTTCAACAATACCTCCCCCCAAGGGAAAGATCTCTAAAGCACGGTTCTTACGACCTTGAAAATCGGATCCTCGCTCTTGGCACCCTCATCGAAAGCGACGTAGTTCTTCTCTTCATCGTAGATGTGGCACACGCTGAGGATGGACTTCATCAGCGTCTTGTTCCATTTCGCCTCGTTCAAGTACTGCAATAGCGGAAATCAGTCAGTTGAATCACGGCTGCTTTTTGTGTTTGGAGTATCTCTACGAAGATATTCCTCCCTTGCAAGCAGCTTTTCGCGCTCACCTAGTTTATACAGATTAGAAGGTAACAAAGCAGAAAGAAAGCACCGAGAGCTCACGCAGAGCATTTGTAATCTGTACAAGACCCGTCACGAGGCATGCAGGGTTAAGCAGAACCGGCAGTGTTTCTGGGTCGGCTTTCAATTTGCACCTGAGTGGACCGTCAATCGAAGGTCTTTGTTCGAGTGAGCCTTAAGGCAACTGACGGAAAGTCCAATCTCTCCGACATGAGCACTCGTCACTAAAAGCCTTTTTGAAAAGTTGGGCTCTTTACCTCGTCAGGGACCCTTTGAAACACCACATATGCTCTCTAACGACATGGGGGGCAGAGGCCGACTGCTGAATTGGATCATGACGCAACGGAAAGAGAAAACCACACACCAACTTCCTCAATTTCCACTTTCAAACCCCAAAAAGGCCTAATGCGCGCGAATCCTCTCAAAAAGCCAAGTGCAGAAAAACAAAACTGTGCGCCGCCTTCCCACCTGTCCCCAGTTTGCCCGCAGTGACTCGTTAGCCTTGCGCAGGTTGTACCACGGAATCCTCTGGCTGATGTGGTGCGGAATGTGTACATTGATGTCGTGGCACAGAATCTCAACCCTGCAGACATGAAGACACATCAGAAACCCGGCACGTGCTTGGTGGTAAAGGCTGAAGGTCGGAGTGAGCATGTGTCGCTCGTTCCCAGAGCGAAAAAGGCAATAGATCCTGAAACTGAAGTCTCAGATTGATGCCATGGAGAGACCCTAACCATGTGGTACCCATGCACCATCAGACAGCTGTCAATGTGCCCTGAAGCTCAATGTCAACGACAGCGTGCCTCTGAGGAGCGCCCTCAAAGCAGATGCTAAGAGTTTTGTCGCTTGCCAAGTTTGTAAGTGAACTCGCGGAGTAGACTAACCCTCAACGACCAGTTTCCCAGTTTTCCAATAGCAAGTCGTCTGTCTCAAACGCCCTCCAAACACGAAGATTGAAGTGGCTGACCTCGGAATGACGAAGAAGGGAAAACCGCATCCTTACAAAAGCGTTTCAGTCACGGCGGCTATGCATGTGGAAGCAATGCGCAAACGCAAAAATGCTGAAGCTTCGAAGCTACACGCAAAAAGAGCAGCACGGCGCACCATCTGGGATAGTCGCAGTGCACGGTGCCTCCGAGCTGCGCTGCGGCACCGTCCCACTCGCCAGCGGCCTTGAACGGGATGTGGGGCGCCGTGTGGTGGACCATCGTGAAAGTGCTCATCTGCGGGGCAGGAAAACCATCAGATATGGCCAGCTGTCGCAAACGTACGTACTTTCGACCAGTACGTGGGACAGTACTTGGGACCACTGTTACTGAACAATCACTGTTACTGACCAATAGCTTACAGACCGCCTTGAGAACCACGTGGGAAAAGATGAGGAAAGACTAAGTGTGGAGTTCTTGGGAGGCAGCCAACGCATTGAAAAAGTCTCTCGAAGTCAAGGCAAGAGTCTGCATCTCCTCATTCTTAACGTGTGCCAACTCGAAAGCGGTAGCTCAATCAGGAAAGCAGCAATGAGCAGAGTCGTCGAGTTGGCCGAAACATTGTCACTTTCAAAGAAACCTCCAACAAAAATTGGATCGAAAAGACTGTGCCATTCAGATTAACTCCAAAGTCGAAGCCCAGCCTGGACCGCACAGCCGAAGAATCCAAAAAATAAAAGGAAAGCCAGCTTCCCCCTTTCGAATCAGGCCCTCGACAGTCATGAAATTACCTCAGGCTCTTGACAATCAAAAAACCAGGCCCCGTCCGACTTACCCAGAAGTGGAAACCAAGGTTCGGGAGCAGCCAGAATTTGACCCAGCCCATGATACCCGCCTGGGCAACGATAAGCGGAAAGGCGATGGCGGCAAAAGCAGTGACGGCCGCCAAGCTAATCTTGACGCGGTTCTGCTGGCTGGCGGTGAACTTTCTGAGGTCGAAGTGCCAAAGAATCCTAAGGAAACACAGAGACGGGTTGGTTAGAAGATTGAAGCTGCTGGTGATAATAGATTTCGGTCCAGGGGAGTTGACCATCCATGTCTCGACAACCGGAACTAGCCTGCCTGTCCGCAGCTGACTAAGAACAGGGCAATCTTGGAGACGATTATCAGCCTTTCTTTGCCAAAAGTCGCGGTTCGGACGCACTCAAGCAGTCACGGGTAAAGACAAAAGAACCCTCGCCTCTCCTTGGATAAACAGAATGGAAGTCTGGTCCCCTTGACATTGTGAAGCCCCTGATTGTCGGTTAGGAAGCGACCTCGGCCTCTTTCCGACTCAATTCCTTTGAAGGCCTGTAGCCACTTCACCTCACGACAACGGAAACGAGTTAAGAACGATCTTTGCACCATGCCATTAAGCGTTCGAGACTCGTCTGCACCATTCCCTGTTGCAGGGTTTGACACTCATCACGGGTCACTCCAATCAACCTACTACTGAACCAATGGGAGGACAAGGAACAAACGAAGCGACTTTAACAACTCAAAACGTCCAGGAAGAAGATATTCAGGAAGCGTAAGAACGGAAGGCTGGCTGCGTACTGGTGTCCAATAGAAGCCCATGGTCGGAGCGGCCCCATGGCTAGCCTCATGCCCAGCTGGGCAATTCCGGGGAACTTCTCCCAGTCTTCCCGCACAATCGGATGCCAGGCGGTGTCCTCTACGAGCCTGACAAGAGGAAGCAAAAGCCCGTCAGTATTGATGATCGCCAGAGCATGATTCCATGTAGTGGGATAGGAGACCAGAGGCGTCGGTGCAAGCAAACGGGATACGAATAAAGCTGTTCGACAGCCCCACTGCCCTGCCAACGGAGACGTGTACAGAAGCGTCATGCACCGCTTGTTAACTTAGTGAGAATCTGAAGTGACATCACTACTGAACCCACCCCACAGCACGGACTTGCTCTGCATGGATGTGTCCTGCGAAAGTGCTCCTTGCATAAGCCTGTCGCCTCTAATGGAAAAACATGGACTAAAACTTTCTGTCCTGCCGGGCCCCTCACATATTGGTTTTCGCATGGTGGCGGTCGTGCTTGAAGCGCCATGGCTCGTAAGGGTAGAGGAGGGGCGCAAACGCGAGGGTGCCAACTATATCCTCCATCAACTTGTTCTTTGAGAAGCACTTGTGGGCGCAGTCATGGCCAATGACAAAGAGCTGCAAAGAACAAAGGCGACGTCAGGGTCGACTATCCAGAGGGGATCACAGAATCGTGCAAAGAAACCGTAAAAACCACAGAGACACACCAGGAACGTGTATTTCCACCATCCAACATTCCAATACGAGGATGCCCCTCGCCAAACCCAGTGCAGTTGCCCGACTTGGAAAGATATCAATGCCACATGAAGCTGGCATGACCAATCAAAAACGTAAGCTCTTCAACTTTCTCCCCTTCAACTTTCTGATACGAAAGGAGGAGCTGATGAGCATTCTGATTGAGACAGGCGAGGGGGCTGCTCTACTTTTGTCAATTCGAAGGTTCCAGAGCTTTTTCACAATCCCAATAACGTATGGCTCCGCCTGCATTGAAACTGGAAAAGGAAAGTGGGAAGTAACCAGACTCAAAGGCCACTCACCCCGGTCCAGGCGGCGGAGGTGTAGGCATAGACGAGGGGAAGCAGGTACCAGGGGGAGTTGGCAATCATCCACACGCTGGCGCCGACCGCGCACGCGGTGAGCAGCACGGCGCTGTACGAGCGCAGCTCGTTGATCTCAAAAACCTGGGGAATGGAGGATTGAACTGCTTAGCAGTTGTTAGCAGATGTCAGTAGCAGATGTAAGAAGCTTTGCTAAAAGGCTTACTTGTGATACACCAAAGTGCGCAAAGAAGCGAGGAAAAGTCCTGTGACCATTCATTGGCCCTTTCATAGTGCGGTTAAGTGCGGTCTGATTCTGGATTGGTGCCAGTCAGCAGGCCGCCTTCAGGCGAGTTCTTTCAAGAAGCACCCGTTGGCATGATGTTGAACGCTGAGTGACCCTTCGTTCTCAGAGGATTCAACCCAGCCCTTCACTGCGTACACTCATCCTCTTCATGTGGAAAACCACTACCCCAGTGAAGACCGCCACGAGCCAAGAAAGGAGCGCCGAAATGTGCAGAGGATGCCTTGGATTGATGCATGCATGTTTCATCTAGCCACACCAAAATTGGGGGTATTTTAGAAGAGCACATTCGAACCCCTGTTGACCCCAAGGAGTCTACAGAGCTGCATCTGCTTCACCATGATCTTCTAACAAGCAGAATCCACTCTTCATGAATCAAGTCTAGTCCCATGAACCAAGTCTGGTTTTTAAATGCAAACTTTTCCAATTCAGAAAAGTAACGCCAGCAAGCGACGATGATCCTCAGATTTTTGAACCCTAATCAAGCTAAGAGATTCTCACCTCTGGCGGCAACGAGTTCTGCACCTGCCTGAGCGTCACGCCCTTTGGAATTGGCGCCCCAATCTGCTCAAAACCATACTCCTTCGCCAACCGTTCCCTTTCCTCAGGATCACTAAGGTCCGGCGCTGCAATAGGGGCCGCGATAGCTCTGACTGCCTTTGGACCCCTCAACCGCTGGCCTGAGGGTGAACTGTCCAACTGGAAAAAGGAACAGTAACAGATCGATGAGCCCCGATGAGCAAGTGGTGTAGACTCTTCATTCCACACCTTCTTCAAAGCATCGTGCCTATCAGAGTATGGGGAGCATGTGGAAAACACAATATGATTGGTGCGAGATGAATATCGCCGATTAACAAACTTTGCTTTGCCCCTCTTTTAGGGATCTGGAACCTTTTCAAGGAAGATCGCCCTGTTTTAGCGGCTGAGTGAACATGAATAGGACAGCGCAGGCACTTATGGAAAAGAAATATGTCAGTTGCTGCTTGAAGGCCCCTAAACTCTGAGAAAATTGCATCAGACTGGCGGCTGCATGAACCTGTTGAGCTTCTTTTGGTTGCAACAGCAGATGCGTTGAAACAGATGCCAAACTAGAGGACTTTTGACAAGATACGAGAAGCAGGCAAACCAGGGGACTATGATATAGTACAAGAAGCGGGAGCTCACACAACCCTAAAAGACTAGCGAATGTAGTTGACCGTCCCCTTGGAGACTGCAACAAGGCTGGCCACAAAAAATCCCAGAAAAATGACATGCATACAGTACTGAAGGGTTGTGCCAAGTGCCACCATGGCAGATGCTCGGAGGTCAGAATCAACGGAGGGCATAAGCGCCTTGATCTGAAGACTTTCATGAGGTAGCAATGCCGACACCTCTTCTTATTTGACCACGGAAAAGGGGCAAAATGACATCTAACAAATTAACGGAAGTACGAACTCCGATGTTAACGGCCAGAGCTTTGGACCTGTCCTCCTTCTGAATCAGCATTCTAGTATACTGTTACGGGGCGCTGTAAATCCTACACAGCTCTGCCTCGCTAGTCATTTGCATCAAGCTCAAACAGGCTCAGATCTTACAAGTGGTTGAATCGCGCGTGCAGGTATGGAAAAACTAACAAAACGAAAGACGAGGCAGCCAAAAGTTTCACCCGGCTGGCTGGAGGTGTACAAGTTCAAAGCGAAGAATCCTGACCTTTGCACCCTGGAGAGACGAGGATGTATGGAAGCCAAGCCCCTTGGCAGAAACTGCAAACAGAACGGATTCATGAGAGGCGAAGACAGACACCAATCGGGGAGTGGCGCAGGCGAAAGGGCCCAGCAGATTGAAAGGTGAGAGAATAGACAGAAACTGAACCTCTAAATGCTCAAGGCATAGAAAGAGCTATCACCTTCAGAAATGACAAAACCTCGAGCATTGTCCGACTCCTCGAAGAGGATATCACAGTCTCAAGTGGAAACCTTCGCTCTCAAGAAAGCAGAGACAGCACACTCAATCACTTGCCAGAGGGAGATATTTTACCTGCATCAATCCTCCTATTGCTGTGAGACCATCGGCGAACGGGCGAAGCACCCTGCAACAGGAAAACCGGACTGGCTTTTAATGCCAGCTTCCTGATCAACTCTTCAGTGCGGATTCAGCAAAGCATCTCACACAGGTAAGCACCACAAGCAACACATCTGAGATCCTGACTGAACCGGAGACCTAGGGACAGAAGTGCTGTACAGACACATCAATTTCCCAATGCAAGAGCCAGATCTAGGTTCATAGTCTTGGTCCCAAGCGAGATCAGAACCTGCCAAAACCACTTTCAGCAGAAGCTGTCTACTATGTCCACAGCGTGTACTGTTCGCATGAAGACAGAAGAGACATTACCTCGCAGGAAGCCTGCGCTTGCGGCACAGCTCTTGCCAGGCCCGCCCCAAGGTTCACCCGCTGCGACAGGGCAGCCATGGTGGACTGCATCCTTGCGGTTTGCAAAGCTACCCAAGGACACAATGTGGGGGCTAGCCAAAGGCAGGAACCCGCAGTTTAGTAACCACACCGCCGCTTGCACAAAGCTCCTTCCAACACCTACCGTACTGCCAATGCTGACGAATCGAAGAGCTGCTCGATGAGTTTTGCCTGGTTGCAGGATTGTTGACGTCGTGGCGGGAGTGGTTGCGAACAGACGAAGTTAACCCGCTTGGGTACTTGACCAAACTTTCTGTTGAAACTGCAAAAGCGCCAGGCAAAAGTGAACCCGCATCGCGACTCCTTGCACGTGATGGCTTCATGACCATCCGATCAGATTCGTTGGGACTGAGGGAACTACTTTAGGCGTTCGATGCTGACGGCGCGCGACGTGGAGCCACAAATCTAAGATCTTTTGGAGATCTGTTTCAGAGTACCCAAAGGTAGCGAGCGGTAATGGCTAGTTTGAAGCTCTCGGTAACGGGAACTTCCAGTTAGCAGCGTACAATGCTGCTGAGCCTGTATACTACAGTTACTAGTACAAATTCAATGCCGCACAATTGTGCAATGCTGCTTGCGCACCCTAGCCCTAGTCAAGCCCGCTATTTGGCATTCGGTTGGCAAGAGGCTTGCAGCAGGGCTCGAAGGTTCAGAAGTAAGGTCAAGAAGCTGGAATGTGCCAATGTTCAAACGCTTGACGTAAACCCAAGCTGGGGCGCCAGCACAAAAAAAGCACCTCTCAACTCAGCCCATCTCAAAGCGGCATACTGTTGTGACCAACTGCGCGGTCCAGGGCTTCGGTTTTCAGCTGGAAAGCAGTTCCACGTTGGCAGCATCACAATTGCATGTAGTCCAGCCCGTTGATGGCGTTGTATGAGAGCAGTGACTCTGCATTGTGGGAGGCAGCTCTAGATGAGTATCCTGCTAGGTTGCAGGGGCTAGGAAAGGAGCGCCTTGTGGACTTGGACGACTTTTACAGAGTTGAGTTGGTGAAGACTCTTAAAGAACGGGGGAATGCAGGCTATGTCACAAAGGACGAGCTAGTGAAGATCGTCGACTGGAAACTTACCCGTGGAAAGTGGAGGTAAGTTGCAGGAGACTGGATTTGAAATGATTGGTTTAATATGCCTGGGGCTGCCTACATGTCACTCGACTCTGCGCTTCAAAAGTTTCGTGCCATCTAGACAGTCCTCACTGGAGCGCGCTTAGAGTTTGGGCGCCCCAAAAGCTGGTGAAAAGCAATGAGGGCACAGTTGGGGGCAGCGCTGTTTGCTGGCCCTTTGCAACATAAAGCCCAGGAGAAGTTTTTATGACTGTTGTGCATGCCACATCGTTCCCTCAGAAAGAACTGCACGCATCCAAAAGTCTTTCCCTCAACAGTGCCCCACTCTCATCTAGTGTCCCACTGGATTTGTCATGCCGTTGGTCGCACCCCCTCTTTCTTCTTTTGACTTCTCGATTTGTTGGAATTTTCATGAGGCATCTGGGGCGCAATATCGCGACCAATTTTGATTTCCTTGTGTTGACTTCACCCTCACCTTTGCATAGCAACTCAGACTACTCTCTCAGGAAGTAGAAGTGGCCACAGACATCTCATACGAGGTAATCTTCGCATCACTTTGATAACAACCCTGTGTGTAGATCCAAGAAGCTCTCTTGCAGTCAATGGGAGAAGGATCTGGACCAGGGTCTGTCCTGCTTGGACAGAAGGTCGTGTTGCCACCTCGTGGGTCAGTCGAACAAAAGGTCAACGCTGTCGTCTTGGCCAATCTGAACGGTTCTTCACCCCATCGTCGCATAAAAAAGAACCTCGGTTTTACCCCCCGTTTGCCGAGCTTTAAAGCAAATTCTGTACACCCCTTGACTTCGTGGCCCAATTTTATAATCCAATCCTCCTACAGGCCGCGACTGCTGGGCTACGCCAAAGATGCCGCCGAGACTGACATCATCGAAACCTCAAAACGGGCTTTTGCGGCGCTCCCGGACGTCCAGTCAGCAATCAAGATTCTGTCGGAGCTCAAGGGCATTGGACCGGCGACGGCAAGCGCCGTGCTTGCGGCGCACTCTCCTAATCTGGCGCCTTTCATGTCGGACGAGGCGCTTGCGGCGGCGCTGAAAGGAACCAAGGACTATACGCCCAAGAAGTATGCGGAACTGGCGGAAGCACTGACAGCGAAAGCGAAGGTGCGGCCTTTGCGTTTAAGAGCTTGGTGGCTCGCCTCTGGCAAAAACGTTACACTTACTTTTTGGGATGTCTCTGGCTGACTTTTTATAGAAGACATTTTTGGAACCTTTGGCTGATTGGTCACGATTGCAAAGATAAGACCTTTGTGGGACGTGAGCAAATCGTTAAAGGAAGATCTTCTCGTCTGGTTCTGCACTCTTGATCATCTTGTCTTAGAAAACTTGGAGTTTACTGGAGGAATTCCACTGAACGGCGTCTCGTAAGCTGTCAAGGAGACTGATTGACGGCGAAAAGATTCCACTAAATCGACTAGAGCCTGGAAAGCCTGGCCGCCGAAGCAGAGAGGCTGTTGAAAGGAACGGAGAGACTGTTGGTAGTATCGTGCTTTTGGCTGGAAACGTTTTCTATTTCCCACTGCTGAGCGTGTTTAGGTCCTTCTGAAGGGGCAAACTATCGCCACAGAGGCGGCAGAGTTGAACTGCATGACGGGGGAGGGCCCAAAAATAGTCAATCTTACTGAAGCTAAGTTCCGATCTTTGACGGTCTTAAGAGGAAGACAACAAAGAGAGAGTCGTTCATCGGTTTATGTCCTCGTTCTGGTCTTGCTGTTCGCGAAAGCCGTTTCACATGGAAGTCGCAAAGTTTCACGTCCTGCTGCCAACCTTTCTTGACCTGAGTCTTCTTTCTTGGCGTTATACTCTTCTGCCCGATCTTGTTGCCGAAGGTCACTTTTGCAGGGTTTGCACGGACTTTCGAGTTGCCCAAGTGGTGTTTGCGACTGCCCAAGTCTCGCTTGATCAGCAGCTTTTTTGGAAGAAAAGTCCTTCTTAGTCGATGCTATCAGTATCCTCTTCGGTGGTTTGCTGGGGAACGATCTGGCAAGCTACTCTCACCACCAGATTGAAAATGCCTAAGGGACACATGCTTTGTTTTTCCGTTTGTGTCCGCTGGGGACCATGCGCGTCGGTGCGAAGTTGAAACAGCCGGTTCATTTCACTGCAGGATCTCGGGTGTAAGTCAACGGGCGAGCCATGGACGCCTTCGGACGTTGAGAGGGCAATTTGGTCGGACGATGCAAAGGGCCGGCAAAAAGGGGTTTCGAAAACGGCTTCAAAAGCAGCTCCGAAGGGCGCCGCCAAAGGAGACGCGAAGAGTCAACGGGGTAAAGGTTCCGGAGGAGCAACGGATGCGAAAGCAGCCGGTTTACCAGCCGCAAAGGGACCTGAAAAGGATACCACGTCAGGTTCGGCAGCGGCGGACCTGACCAAAGGTAGTTCGAAACGGAAGGCAGTCTCTCGGGAACGATTGGCGAGGAACGTTAAGAGCAAAAGTTGACTAGCATTGGGTTCGTAGCACGACACTTTGGCGAAAATATCTGTTTGATGTCAGATCACTTGTATCATATACAGAAAACGGGGTACGAGCAGCACTTGGACCACCTTCGCAGAAGTCCGGAACAATTGCAGATATTCCAATATCGAACACCTCCTTGACTCAGTGTATCATGTTAGTAGTGTCCCGTATCAAGCTGGTACGTAAAGCGGCAAATGACTGGTCATGCACATGGTTTTCGTGCATTTCTGTCCGTCTCCTGAGCTGTTGCACGTCCATTCTGGCTCGCACAACCGATATGTGATCTGGGCCGCCGTGCTTGCGCACACATGCAGACCCGACGGCGACGATGCACATACTTTCATATGCTCAAGCTGTGTACGTGTCGGGCCGGCTGGCTAACCATAGAAAGGATGTACATGCAAGCTTAATGAGACATTGAAGCCAGGATTTCAACCGGCCGGCAGCTCCGCAAGTACAATTTTGCTTGGTCCATGCCTGCTGCCGCAAGCACATGATTGCATGCGTCATCGCTCGCAATTCTGAAGTATGACGAAGCCGAGATCAGAGCATGCAACTAAACCTTTCCGATATACGGAACACGCAAATATGGTCTTCTTTTGCTGGCTCAGGAATCACGATTCGTCAACACAGTAATGGCAAGATCACCTTTGGCCGAGCAGAGGTCAGTTCTTTATTCATGAGCTGAGTCAACGAGCCCGTTGCAAGTTCTGTTCCACGTCTCTATCCGCCTAGAGTATACTACTTCAATTCGTCCATCAAACGTTCTTTGCCAGCTCAATCACCAGCGCTGCCTCAAAGTACACGCACAGCGACTCCGCGCCCTCCACGTACTGATTCCCCGAGTAGCCACTCTCTCGCTGCTCCAGCTTCTTCTTCTGCGCGGCCGTCGGCGCCACGAGCAGCGTCCGGCCCGCGGCCGCGGCCGCCTCCCACTTGTACGCCGGCTTGGGCCCCTCCCCCACCAGCCAAGCCAGGTCCTCCTTCGTGAAAGCGTAGCACGAAAACCTGGAGGCGCCCCTCATCCCGTTATAGTCTTCATCAGAACTGTACGGAATAGTCCAATGGTCGCGCGTCACTACCGTCAGCACTTCCACCGGAAATGTCTGGGTGAGCGCCTGGTGCAGCAGCCAGTCGGTCCCTTTGAGAATGTCGGGGCGGAGCAAGTTGGCCTGCGTGTAGTCGTGGCTGAGAAGAATGGTGACGAACTTGGGGGCCGGGTCGAGCGCTCGAAGGGACTCCACGATGGCCTGCGCCTCCCGCTCTGCCTCCAGCTTGTTCCAGGGGCCGTCGCTGAACTCCTCCTGAAAGCAGAAAAATAGTAACTAGCTAGGGCGTTTTTGCTTGCATATTTGAAATTGTCAAAAACAACATCAATGCAAGGAGGTCTCAGCGAATCCTCTTGTAATGACCCGTCCGCATATCTCCTTCCATCATCGTTCGCGCCTAACGACAGCATGAGGGACGTCTTATTGCTCACAGACGGGTTTTTGAAGGAAGCAACATCTGGCAGGAGCTTCGACAATTGTGACCAGAAAAAGCTAGATCAAGGGGAAGAATTGGTTACGCACCTCAATTTCTGGATACTCGTATCTGGTTGATGAGGAGGGGTAGGTGACCTTGTAACCAGTCTCCGCCAAGTTATCGCGCGAACGAGCATATTTCAAAGGGCGAGGATCCCATATCCTGTCGTCCGTCTTCCCTGCTTTTCCTTCTTGGATGATGCTGAAGGTGAGCGTAGCCCGGTAGCCCTTCTTCACCTCCTTGACCTCGTGCAGACAGTCGCCGTACATGGCGGCCCACTGGACTCGCTCGCGGTCACCCGAGAGGGGGGCAAAGTCGAACACGTGGTTGACCCCCGTGTGAGAGACGACAAGCTCTCCTGAAAGGGAGACGAGAGCATCTTAACGGGGTCGGAAATCTGGATCGTCAGCGACAACAGTGATTAGTTTATGAAAAAAAAAGTCTTCGCAGATGACAACGGAGCGTGAGGAAACTCAGGTTCCAACTTCAGGCTGGGTACATAACCACACGCTGTCCGTTTCGGATGCAGGTAGGTCTAAAAATTGACTGAGACAAACCTTGGAAAAACTTGTGTAATCTGCCAGACTGAAGATCAAGTAGAGGTGCATCACGTCCGCCGGATTGAAGATCTTAAAAGTAGAAGAAAACTGGACATTTTTACAACTCAGATGGCTGGGAAGTCTCTTTCAGGCTGTTTAAGGTTTCCGGTCCGCCAATTAATGCAAATCCTTGAACGCAAGTAATTCACTTATATACGATTCCGCGAACGACATGACGATCTTCACCGGAGTTGCTCGCATGTAGCGACTCACCGCCCTCGTGCTCCGACGGCAGGCAGACCACCAGCGTCCCGACCATGTTCTCCACGTCGCGGGGGGAGTCCACGTGGGGCTTGAAGAAGCCGCCCTCCCCATAGACATTGATCTTGTAAGGCAGGAGAGAGATTCGAGCGCCATGGTTCATGCGCTCCTTGATGTGCTCCATGATGGGTTGCAGAAAGAGAGCCTGCAAAAAGAGAGTGATCTCTATCGGATTTGGTGATTCAAGTGAGGTCTGTGCCGTAATTATAGAGCCCCTGGACCACTGGAAGGAAAGCGCGATGTAGACGCGCTCGAAAGATCAGAAGCTCTGGGGAGCCTTCAAACTGAAGATGGTTTTCTGGATCCACGATCTTCATGTAGTGAGCGTCGGTAGATTGTCGCTGGTTGTCTTAATGCAGCGCAATTGCTCATGAAAGCTGCTTAAGGCTTCCTTAAGAACCATGCCTTGCATGCATTAGCGTTAGGAGTTTGAAGAGACGTTTGCCAGCATTCAAACGCTGCTGCTTGCTTTTCAAAAGGAGCGTCTTTAGCCCTACCTTGTGATAGTGAAATTCCGGGCGCGCTTCGCCCGCGTATGGGTCAACCATCTTGATGAGAACGGCCACGGCGTGGTCACACCAGGTTGGGGTGGTCTTCGCCGCTCTTTCTCCGCATTCGCACTCGTAAGATAGCTCTAGGGCATCCTTGTCGTAGTAAGCGAGGTAAACTCTAGACTTCTGGGGCTCCTTCACCTTGCCCGCGGTGACCGTTGTCTTCAGGGAGCGACCTTCTTCTGCGACCTGCGGAAAGATCAAGCCTCTTGTCACCTGGCTTGCGAGAGTTCTGCCAATCGACAGGCACTCTCAAATATGTGTGCAGGTTAGACTCAAGCAGCAGGTTCATGATTCAACATGACTCTGCAGACAATATTGGCATCACTGAAAAAGCGATATGACGGAACAAGAAGCAGACCTACAATTAAGCTTGAATGTGGAAAGCTTACCAAGATGGTTAACGACGGCTATTAACTTCACTTACTCTGGCCGTGAAGGTCGTTGTGTAGTACTCCGGATCCTCCGCGCTCCGTTTCTTTTGGCTCGTCTCTAGTAGCTCTGCTGAGACCGCTTCGACCGTTGCTCGCCCCTTTAACCGATCCAGCCGATCTTGGCCCCCATGTCCCATATGGACGAGACCCTCCTGAAAAGATGCACTGCACTGTTTTGACGGTCCGCTGTGACAGCAGGTATGATCTGCCGGCGCAATCCCGTTTGCGTGGCGGCCTCACAGTAGCATTGGAGTGAAGCGCTGAGTTTTTAACTCTGGAGCTTCGTAAATTTCCTTAAACTTTTCTCTTTTGAGGCCGGAGTGAAGATATCTCTACAGAAAAGAGTGTGCTTTTCTGCTTTGTCTGAGCTCCTTTCTCGGAGATCTAGAGCTTTCTTTGACCTGTGTGAGAAGAACACGTCAAAAGTCTGGGGCCCAGCGGAACGTCGATCGAAGGCTGTTCTTGCAGTTCCTATTGACTGTCAGGCAAACAAGCAGTTTTCAAGGCCTGTTTGAGGGCCGGAAGCACGTGAGGCCGGGGCATGCAACCTGCCCTCACTACACAAGAGACACTCTCTCCTCCAAGCCGCTAAGCCGAATTCTTATTGGTGCCGTCAACAAGAAGGGTTGCAGACGAAAGAACAGAGGCTCAAACACTGAGGTTCAAAAGCAAAAGCGTAATTAAAATGGTTCCAAACACTCAACTTAAACGTATTCTTGAGTTTCTTACCCTCGACAATCCTGGAATATACTTTCTGCTGTCTGGCTTGTTGGGATAGTCAAAATCCAGGTGAAAGTACGCTTCCCAAGCCTTTCTGATGGTGTAATCGACCACGTTTGCTCCTTCTTTTAGGTCTCCAAATCCTGCGACGGTGCTCTTCTCAATCACACTTTTGAGGATGAGGTTCGTAATACTCTCAGCAAGAGTAGTCTTCGGTCCTGCACCGTAAGTTGAATATCCGCAGTGAGTTATCATCGTTTAGCAGTGTCTCCAGCTCAAGAGGTTAGCTACTACCAGATGAATGCGTCTATGGCTTGATCTTCTTCAGAAAAACTTGACTCATGCGGAAGGTCTGCCGGTTTTGCCAAGCCACATGCAAAGAAATATGCAAGCGCAGGATTTGCACTGCAGGTCCCAGGGAGTGAACATTTTGGAAGTTAAACGAATGGTGAGAAGTCTACGCAATCAGCAGCTTTTTAAGCATTAATTTCGAAAGGGGTTTACTTCCGTATGAAACTACGGCTGTAGTCTTTAACATGCATGAGCTACTGACAGCATGCATGAGTTTGCAAAATTGTTAGCTTTTGAACAACGTTTGCGGGAGAAATCTGCGAAGATGAGAAGACATCGGATCTAGATGTTGCTCTCCTTTTGTACGTTGCCAGTGGACTTTTCATCATATATCTAAGCCACATTTCCCCCTTCGTTGTTAGCAGGACTTGACAGTCCCCTCTTGAAGTTGGTCAAACTCACCGGTTTGGGCATTGTCAAAAGACGACGAGAGCGCGCATCCACAGGGGTCCCCATCCAAAAGCTTCACGATTAGAAACTTTTGGTCATGTTCTGGCAGCTTGACCGATCCTCCACAGCAGAAAACATTCTTCTCAGAAAGGCCTCCGTAGAGCTTCCTGACTGCGCCTGCCAGAAGGCGCTCTTTCTCGCTGTAGGTACTGGAGTCATATTGCGTGTCAAACTCCCCGTCGGTTTTGATGCTTCCTAGAAGCAGACCACTTTGCACAATCTTTTTGAGAGCCGTCTGCATCTTCACGAAGTACCGGAAGAGAGGAAGGGGTTCCATTTGTCTCGGGGTTTGGAGGTCGAGCTTGGAGAGCCGTCTCCAAGTGTCCTGATTGTCAGCTCGAGCTCCTATTAGGAAACGTTCTGCTTAAGTTCGAAGACCTGAGAATAAAGCAACTGACTTCAAGAGGCCACCCTCCAACGTGCCCCAAGCTACTGTAGTCGCGCAGGCGCAGGCGCAATTAATGGTCAGATCCGAGCTGGCAAATGGACCAACTTGCGCAAAAGTTCAATGCTGGCACTATAGACTGGTGTACTGGCCGGCGGCAAGGCTCGCGGCCGGCCGCTACGGAGGTATGGGGCGGGAGGTTTAGGATCGGGGTTTGACTTAGAAGTAGTTCCGGCAGTTCCGGCGGAACCGTTCCGCACATGGCACATTTAGGCACAGCCTGAGCAGGCTACCTATCTAGTATCCCATTGGGCTACCTAGATAGGCAAAGGTCCTGATCAAAAATCCCTCAACAGGTATTACATATATGACATCAGGTTGCCTGCACAGTGGGCTAGCTACTTTAGACTGTGCTAACCCCTTTGAAAAGATCCTGGGCCAGGTGCAAGTTGCAACTGTCCTTGGTCACGTTGGTGTCTGGCTGCCTTGAGGGCTGGCAGGTCAGTTGCAAGCAAGCTCGCGTTGCTGAATTTTCTTGACTGCGGGAATCTAGCTACATATTTCCCAAGCCTTCAACTTGAAGGGCATTGCCTTTTGGCCTTTTCACAGCCTCAAATGCATTGGTAATATGGGCGATCGCGGTTGAGATGCTACACCACCTGGGAACCGATGCCATTTTGGGGCTTTGAAAGGTAGTAATATTGGAGAGGATAGTGTGGTAAAATCTGAGGGGGAAGGAGCGGACAAACTATGCTACTGCCTGCGGTAGTTCCTTCCTCGAAGCTAGGTGCTTACAGGATCGTGTCGGGTCTACCGAATGTGGTGGCAGCACTGACTTGATCATGGCGTGTCTCTTCACAGACTGCTCACCAAACGCAATTGTAGCCCCTGCTTTTGAGTGCCCCTTCTAGATAGTTGCCTTTCACTTCAGTCCTTTCTTTGAGCGGATCAACAGCGTCTGGTTGCATCTACCTTCAGGGGCCCATCAAGACAGTCATACAGTACCCTTCTTGCTGCAACTTTTTTCCTTTCATCTACCCCCCTCACTGATCAACGAGAGGCTACCTGCCTCCTGCTTCTGAAACTGTCACCATGAAGCCTTATCTTGCTTTTTGTTCTCAGAACTGGGCGACCTTCTTGTAGATGACCGGATACTTTTGCCCTCCAGTTCATAACATGAGAAGTTGCTTGACCTGCAGGTTTGCCTAGGTGTAAAACGAAAATCTCTCGAGGTCAAAAGCAGTCTGTCACGAATCAGATGATGTCAGCAAGAATGTGAGCGATGATGTCAGGCGAGGCCCTTGCTGCGGCTCTGAGAGGACCCCGCGATGCCAGTGGCAGGGCATACCGCGAGCTAGTAGAGTCACTGATAACAGAAGCGGAGGTGAGTCCAAAGGTTTTGGAAACTTGTTTGTTCCTAAATAAATCAATTCATGAATTCCTGAGTTTTAGGAGACCGAGAGTCTGGTGGGAAGTGATCCTGATGGGGAATTCTTTCGGATGATTTGGAACCCGCTGCCCTTACACTTTAAGCTCTGAATGAAGATTGTTGAACATCATAGTGGAGTGTATTAGGGTCTTGGGGGGTAAACTCCGGGGGCTAACTTGGGGGTAAAAGGCAAGCTCTTTAGGGCCCCCTTCCTTTTTTCACCTCTGCTTCTCAAAACTCAGGCCGTTATAGCATGGTCTCAGCTCATGGCTCCAGTGAACCCATTTTGACAAAGACCGCACTATCATCTCGCATGGTGAGTAGCCCTCCGATCCTCCCTAGTCCTACTCAGACGAGAGGATTGCAGCCCACGAAGTTCCCTCATTTTGATGTAAACCTTTTTTCCAACACTTCCTAACAGATACAGTCTAAACATCTGGTTTTCTTAGGTTGTTACCTGAGCCGCAGAGCGAAAAGATGAAGGCTGTTCCATTAGAAGTCACCATTGAGCAGCCTTGCCTTCTTTGTTCTTGTTGCAACTCGCCGAATACTTCTTTAGGTGGATGGAGTGCAAGAGCGGGGCTGGCAGCATCAGCGGCGGTCGCAGCTGCGCATCGCCGAACTGGAGGCGAGAGAAGATGAGAGAGCAGGCCGAGTAGCGCCGACGACCACCTCTTACGAGCAGTCAGCGGAGGACGAGGGCTCTGTTCGAAGGACGCTGAATGACGACAGTGGTCAGGTAAGCTGAATCGAAAACCTTCATGTAATGGTCAGCAAGACTCATGATTACATCTCGGCGGAGAAGAAACGAGTGATTATAATCATGTCGGCGGAGATGAAACGAGAGATTCAGCAAGTCAGATGCTTCTGATCGTTTGGAGTCTGGTTTGCGTAATTCAAAGTACTATTGTCAAAGTACTGATGCTTTGGGGACTCGATCGGAGTCACCACTCGCTAACTAGAGTTTGAGTTCTGATCCATGTCGACGGATTATGTGGGTTCGGTTAGATACAACGGCCACACGCAGTGCAGGCTGCACTTCTTGAGGGAGGGTATCTTCGGAGCTGACTGATCGAGGCGCACTATCAGTGAAAGCACCTGCAAACCTTTTATCAATTGCTTTTGATGTTGGAGACTTGTGCCTCTACAGTGGTCTCCTGGGAATAAAGAACGTTTTCTGTAGGAATTCCAGCGCTGCTTTACCCTTCTCACAAAGCAGTGTTCCTCTTGAGCGAGGTTTGCCAGCCTTGACATGCCTGTGATTCTTCCAGTTGTTGTTACTTCAGCCCGAGACAGCTGAAATTGGCTGCTTGAAGCCCCCTACTATTATACGCCCTTGTCAGTAGTAGGACACCTTCCCTGTGCTGCCGAACTTTTATACGATCAGTGTCCTTCTTACATCGCCTAGCGTAACCCATCGTGCGCACTCTTTTCCCAGGCTCCGCTGGCGTCCAGTGAAGCGTCGTCTGCGGAAAACAATTCTCTGCTTGCGCGAGAAACAGGGGGCAGAATCAGGGCACTCGAAGCGGAGCTGGCCCTGAGCATCGAGCGCGAACAGGAAACCGTCCAGAAGTTGCGGGAGTGCGGGCCGTTGCTTTCTGCAGACTTCGGGGAACCAACTTTCGGAAGGCATCCGAAAGTGGGCCGGGCAGGAAGAGAGAGTAATCGGACGGAATCGGACACGAGCGATTGGGAAACGGAGAGTGAGTCGAACTCGCAGGACAGCACGCCTCTGCGGCGGCGCTCTCAGAAAGCGCCAACGGTTTCAGAAGACGAAGCTTTTGTGGCTCTGAATAGAGTCCTATCGAACAGCGGAACCGACAAGAGTGGGGCGGTCAGCAACGGGGAGATGCCAGCAGAACGAACAGCTGCTGCGGAGCCGCAAAATGCAGGTGTCACGGGCTCGGGCAAAGCGTCGGAAGTCTTGGACGATGCGACTTTTTCAGAGGATTTGAGACCGCGGAGCCCTGGTAGCTGGGAAGAGGTGGCCCAGGTGAAGGCGGAGCAACTAGAGGAGGCGAAGCTGCTGTTGACGGCGGTAATGGAAGGCGAGCGAGCGGCGCTGGAAACGGTGGCGCGGCTGGAGCTGGAGCTCCAGGTGACCCGGGAAGAGAAACTAGAGGTGGAGAGAAAGGGCGCCGAGGCGGCGGCGATTGCGAGCGCGCAGATCGAGGCGCTGTCGGCGATTGTGGAAGAGTCTGTCCGGAGGCTGAGGGAGAAGGATGGTGTGAATGGGGATCGGTGGGATGAGGGGTGGGGGTTTTTGTGGGGGAATGAGGTGCGAACGGAGGACGAGTCGGCGGGAGAGTCTGCGGGCCGCCGAACACGAGAAGAGGGCGTCCGATTATGCAAACAAGGAGTCCGGACAGATGAAGAGAGTGTCCGATCAGGTGGAAGGGTCGTCCAAAAGGGTGAAGAGAGTATTTCTATGAGAGAAGTTGGGGTCCGAACCAGCAAAAGCAGCGTCCGAGGATCGCCAGAAGCAAAAGCGGCGGACTCGCGAGGGAATGAGGACGGGGACTCTGAATCTTCAGGGACTTCTGCAACGGAGTCGGTCAGCGGAGCCGACGGTTTACGCCCGTCCGCTGAATCGTCCAAAAAAACGCCAGGACGACGTGCATCGTCGTCGGCACCGGATTTGGGCGCTGTTCACGAGGCGGGTCCGTTGGACGATTTGGATCATTCAGACCGTTCGGACGCTGACGGGTCCGAACCGGGAAGGCGCGTCTCGACTGTGGAAGAGTTGCGGGTGCGGGAGGCGGCATACCGGACCCAGTGCGAAGAGCTGCAGCAGCAGGTGAGCTTTTTTTTCTGGTGGCAAGGTCAAATACCAGAGATCTGGTGCTTAAGAACAAGATAGCGGGTTCAAGTGGACGTATGGGGACGGTGACTTTGAAGTTGCAGGGCGGGATACACGTGCTTTGCCTACCGGAACTTTCAAATTCGATCGACCAGCATAAGTAACGATGAGATTGCTGTCCACAGGAGGCTGGCAGTAATACTTTGGCGATTGGATAAGGCCGCGGTCCTCTGCGAAACCAATCTCGGCTAAATTCCAACCCAATCTGGCAAGCCTCGTTCTCTTTTTTGGATTTAAAGCAGTTTGATGTGCCTGCAGGTGAGGAGGGCTTTGGAGCAAGTCGAGGCCCTGCGGAACCAGCAGAGCGAGCGGGAAGTCCGTGCGGCAGCCGCGTACGAGGCGCGGCTGTCGGCATATGTGAAGCAGATGGTCGGCGTGCAGCGGGAGAACGAGGAGCTGCGGGGGCGGGAGAAAGCTCATCAGGTAGGTTTGGACGCTAACCATGCTGTCAATCCTTAACACAGAAAAACAGGAAGCAGGCTGTGCGCCTTTGTGAAGCAGATGGTTGGGGTGCAGCGGAGAAACGAGGGGCTGCAGGCGGGACAGCTGGCGCAGTGTGTAAGACCTAACCACGCTGTCACTCCTGAACCCAAAAGAATAGGAAGCAGGCTGTCAGCGTTTGCGTAGCAGATGGTGGAGATGCAGCGGGGGAATGAGGAGCTGCGGGCGGCTCAGCTGGCTCACCAGGTGTTCTTGAAAGCAGACCATGTGTCAAGCCGTTTGACCAGGAGGTTAAGAAGGGTCAACTTAGCGATAAAGCTAGTCATCACATTGAGCGCTTTGACCAGGGGTGTAGGAGTCGTCGACTTTTTGAAAGAAGCAAATGGTCAGGGTGCGCAGAAGATCGAGGGGCTGCGGGGGCGGGAGCAAGCGCACCAGGTACGGTTGGGACTAACCGCAATGCAAACCAATAAATCAGAAGCCTTGCAACACCTGCACACACAGGAACATGATCAACCTGCTCTTCTCGACGACCAAGGAACGAACATCGGCAATACGTTCTAGTTCGATGACAAGAAGCCGTAATCGTTGTGTTGTCACTGGTAGAGCTAGATCGAACCTCTGGAAGTGAGACGACGTTGCTGACGTCGGCCTGACAACACTTGTTGCAGATGGAATGGGAGTGCCTCTAGGTGCACTAGGACACGAGCAACGTGCTGCTCCAGTCGACTGGACGCACTTTGCACAGGGTCGTGAAGTACGGGAGTGAGCTCCGACCGCGCTGACGTCATCATGACGACCTCTTGCAGATGGAGCGGGAGCGCCTCCAGGAGCAACTAGACGCGGACCATGAGAAGCGCCGGAACGAGTTTCACGCCGCCGAGGCACGTGTCGAATCGTTGTCCGAATCTCTCAGGGAGCTGTCCGACAGGCTGCTTGAACGGACGTTCGAACTCCAGCGGACCCGTCTCCGGACTCTGAAAGCCTCCAACGTTGAGAGTCAAGATGACGTCAGCCGAGCTCTGCCAGGCGGGGAAGGATTGAGAGCGGGGAGAGGGAAGGGAAAGAGTTCCGAGGAGGTTTCAAAAAGCTGTCGGGCGGTGATGCGCGAGTTTGAGCGGGAAGCAGACGAGGTCGAAGAGGCGATGGAACGGACGGCTGAGATGGGCCGCGAGCTGGAGGAACGGACGGCTGAGATGGGCAGGCGGCTGGAGGAACGGACGGCTCAAATGAGTCGAGAGCTGGAAGAATGGCATGCGCACTTTGAAAATTTGGTTGCGGAGCGGGATCATGCACTAGAGAAGATTGGCAATTTGGTGGCGGAAAAGAGGGAGTTGGAAGGGGTGAAAAGGGAGAGAGACGAAGCGTTGGCGAGAGAAAGGGTGCTCCTAGTGGAATTGAAAGCGTTGGAAGGGGTGAGAGTGGAGAAAGGGAAGGCGGTTGAAGATGCACGGGGGCTTCGAGCGCAGGTGGTGGATTTGGAAAGAGTAAAGGTGGACTACATGAAACGGGTGGGACGGATACCCTTTCTTGTAACGGGCGTCATCATCACGACAATGAGTAGGGACGATCGGGGAGTTGCTCGAAGAGGAACGTCTGTCCCGTTCTGAGTTCCGTAGGAAAGAGGATGTGCTCTTACGCTTCATTTGCTTCTTCGTTTCGCTGCTTTGCTCAACGGAGAAAGCAGGAGAATCCTGGCAGGCTGAAAGCAACGGTCTCTCTGCTTGACGAAGGACGCAGAGTAGCTGACGGATTAGCGCACAGACCTCTTTAAGGCAGCACCGTTCTCTGGCCCTTCGTAGCATAAAGGATCTTCCTCTGGTCGCTGCAACAACAAGCCTGGTTACTTCTCGTCCTCGTACGGTAAGGCAGGCTACTTGTCGAGGTCATCTTTTCTGCACAATTCCGACTGTTCACTGGCCTGCCGGCATTTCCCAGCGGAATTGACCATTTCAAACAAAGAGAAATCACGGGAAGATGAAAGCTGGCTAGAAAAGCAAGTAACCTTCTTCTCTCCTGCTTACAGGTCGCAGACCTCGAGTCCCGATTGCGCGAGCAAGAGTCAAGTCTGGCGCATTACAAGGCGGAGATCCAGGAAGAGTTAGCGGGTCTTGCGGAGCACATGCACGTGGCAGCTGCGGAACGGGCTCGGGAGGACGCTGAATACCGAAATCGGACGGAGGAGAGGGCTCGTACGCTTCGGACGCGAGAAGATACAATCGGACGGCTGGAGAACGAGGTTCGGACGCGGACGGAGACGATGGAACAGCTAGAAAACGAAGTGCGGACGCGGGACGACACGATCGAACGGCTCGAAACCGCAGTTCGGACCCTTCGGACGCAGGAGGAAACGATCGGACGGCTGGAGAATGGAGTCCGGACAGGGGACGAAGTGATCGGACGGCTGGAGAACGAAGTGCGGGAGCTTAAGCAGCAGCTGTGGAACGAGAGAGAGCTGTCCGAAAGCGTTCGACAGCGGTTGCGAGCGACAGACAAGAGTGAGGGGCCGTCCGAAAGGGGCGGAGAAGAATTCGGGAGAAATAAGAGAGGGTTCGAGAAGCGGGTAGAGGTGGGACAGTCAGGAGCTAAAACGTCAGAAGGGATCGAAGAGTGTCCGGAATGTGGAGAGCGGGGGAGCGAATCGGTGAGAGGGTTGTGGATTGAGAATGACAAACTGCGGGGAGAGAAGAGGCGGTTCGAAGACCAAGCAAAGGCGCGAGAAGCGGAGACAGAGCACGCGATGAGGAGGGAAGAGACCAGGGTTGAGCGGTTGAACGGAAAAGTGCTGGAGTTGATTGACGAGAGAGAGAGTTTTGCACAGGCGCTGAATGAAGATACGCGCAGACTGGTCGATGAATCCCAGGCGCGGGGGGCGGAGGTTCAGCGGTTGACGGTTTTGTTGAACGAGCAAGAGGAGAAGGTAGGGGAGTTGGAAGGCACTGTAAAGAAGCTACTAGATGAGAAGGAGTTGTTGCAACTAGAGCTGGCGAGGAGCCATGCGGGCATGGAGGTGATAGGAAGTCAAGGCGACTTTCTCCTGAGGGCCAAACAGGAGCAGGTAGATGCTTTGACGCAGAAGGTGGAGCGTTTGGAACTAGAGGTGGGGGGAAAATCGGAGGGGGATTGGGACGCGGTTCAGAAGGAGAAGATGATCGCAGAGGTTCAGGATATCCTGGAGCAGTACAGTATGGCGGGAGAAGAAAGCGCTCGCTGGGAAAGGTCAACGGAGAGAGAAGCGGAGGCAAATAAGGAACGGAATTTTGAGTCGGAAGGAACGGTTGCGGCGAGTGACGGGTCGGAGAGATCGTTGGAGGGGTCTGAGGAACGGGTGTTGTCGGACGGACGGAGAGAGAGTGACGGTCCGGAGGTGTCCGAAGATGCGCGGGGGTTTGATCAGCCACGAGGGGTTCAAGTCCATAAGAACGAGAGACGCTCGGAAATGGAGGGGCCAGGGGCTAACGTCTTGGGTAAGCACGCAGGAAGTGGGACGGAAGAACGAGTTCGGACGGGCGTGCAGGCGGCGCCGTCCGGAAACGGGCGTCAGGCGGAAAGCGTTCGGCGGACGCTCGAGGCGGAGATTGCAAGACTGAGAGAAAAGGTCCGCTTGCTGGAAGAAAGGCAGGGGCCTTTTGGGGAAGAAAGGACAATTAGCGTCGAGCACGGAGGATTCAGTTCAACGAGCGAAAGGATTGGGACGGCACCTTTCGGAAGCAGGGAAGCGACGAGAGAATCTGAAACTGTGGGAATGCACACTGGAACTACGGTCGGGGAGTCGGTTGGGGCGTTAGCTGGGGCGGTTAATGACGGGTTAGCGGGGCAGAACGCAGGGTCAACGGTTCCGCCGCCGTATGAAAGCGCCCGGTTAAGTCCCGGGGAGCGGCAGAGTTCGGACTCCGGACAGGCGCGGGTGTGGAGCGATAAGCGTCCGACTGGGGAGGAGGGGACGCCTAGCAAACAGGGCTTGGTGGGCGCTGTTTCGGCAGCGCAAGCTAGTCAGAGGGCGTCACATGACGAGGCGAAGCTCGTCGAGGACAACGCGTCTCTGCGCTTGAAGGTGAGGGCTTATGGCTGGCTCAGGATTCAGCGCAGCGGAAAAGTTCTGCTAGACACTTTGCTTTTCGATGAGCCTTCTGTAAGTCGAGCATTTTTCTTGCGTGGAGTAGATGTAGAACCTTCTGAAATAGAATCCTTTCCCGCTCCTCTCCCCATCATTACAGATGAAATCTTGCCGAGCGAAGCGTACAGAACTCCTGGCCCAGCCTTTGCGCTCCTCTGGTAGTTCATCACAGGCGTCTTAGCGGACCTTGACAGATTACCTCTGGCAGAACAACGCTTGGAAACGTTAGGGGCGTGTATGAGCCTCTCTCCGCCCTTTGTCCTTTTCAAAACCGCTAATTTGTTATGGTAAACCCTTGTTTTCTTTCTTGCTCTGGCTGGGTCCTATAAACAACCTCACCTTATTCGTGTTGTGACTTACCTTCTTGCTCTGGCTGGGTCCCATAAACAACCTCACCTTATTTGTGTTGTGACTTACCCGTCCAGGTGGCGGAGTTACGGGAGTCCAACCGGGAGCTTCAGTTGCGGGTCAAAGTGCTGGAGGACGACAGGTCCAAGCTTCTGGACAAGGTGCGGTTGTTTATGGGCTAACACTGACTGCAGAACGCCAGTTACTTCAATCTCCACCCTAAGACGCCAAGGCTTGCCTAGATTCGAGCGTGCTAAGCCGCCTCCAGTCCTGTTTCCTTCTCGTCTTGCCTCGGGTGCAGCCACAAAACCCGCTGGATTGCAGAGCATTATCCACTAACTGTCTGCGCTTTGCGAGCCCCAGAGCTCACCTCGAAGCCATTAGCCGGCTTTTGTCCTCGTCACCTCTTTCTCCTGTGTCGTCTGTACCCCAGACCTATGCACCTGGCCACAAAGGTTTGCTGACAGAATTGTCGTCCGCTGACTGTTTGCAGATTGCGAGCTCCCAGGGCCCGCTCTCTCGTCCTGATGCCGAGAGCCGGATATAAACGCGTTTGTCCAATTGACCCTGCCTCTCCCCTTATCCTCGTTTCCTCGTTCTCAAGAAAGTGGCCACCAAGACTATCTAACACTTAAGCCTGCGAACGTACTGCAGATTGCGAGCTCCCAGGGCCCGGTCTTCAGTCCCGATGCGGAAGGCCGCATAGAATCGCAGGCTGCGGAGATCGCGGCGCTCCAGGCGCAACTGGCGGAGGCGGCCGCGCGGCTGACCGAGCAGCGGGGCCGCTACAAGCACCTCAAGGGGAAGTACTTGCGACAGCTGGCGCGCCAACAGGCCATGCACGAGTACATGGTGCGCTCTTCGTTACATTTCTTCTCGGCCTTAATGAAATGTTCTTTGTTGGGTTCTCTCCTCGCTGTGAATTTTTGTTTGGTGTGCATTTGCGTGCTTGAAAATGGAGTTCTGAAGGATTACACTGCCACCCTGACCGGGAAGTACCTGCGACAGCTGGCTGATTCGTTCTGTTCGTGGGTACATGGTGCTTGCTTGATGCTTTCAACCTCTCGGCGATAAAATTTCGCGCAGGGGGGTTTGGGTCCCTGTGCCAAAAACACCTGGCGGGGTCAGCGAAAAACACACGGGCGTCGGTTTACTGTTCCGTCTTTGCTTCTGAACTCCTTCAATCAGCCCTTTTTGTTGCGGAACTAATCCTGACAATGGATGCCTTACACTTGAGATATTGAAGATCCGTCTAAGTAGATCAAAAGATGTCAAGTGGCTCTTAACACCGGCAAAGAGTTTGAAATGGTTTTGCTCTTCTGCTTCTCTTTTACGTGCCGGTTGCGGGAGAGATGTCCTTTCTTTAATTTTGTTCTTGTGGAAATGGGTCCCGGACAAGGGCGCGGTGCTAAGGGCACTCGAGAGTCCCACTTGCAGGCTGCCCGATGCAGCTTCCATTGACGATATTTCCTAAGTGCGAAAGCTGTGCGCTTCGCACTCCAGATACTAAAGTCTTGGAAGCAAACCTTTAGGTCGAAGTCTGAGGCTAAGCTTTTGTGCGACCACGCTTCTGCAGCTCCAGGGGGGCGAATCTCCTGCCAACCTGAGCCCCCGCTCAGGGGTGGCGCCGTCCGTCGGACGACCACGACCGTCCGTAGACGAAGCAAAGCCCCCGTCCGACGCCCCTACTACAATTCCCCCCAGAAACGAGGCCAACGGCCGGGTTGGCACGTGGCCGGAACCCTGGAGCGACCTTGGCCCTGGGCAGCGGCAGGGCATGGTCGCCCGAAACTCACAAAGACGGTGGGTCGGCGCTGAGGAGCAGGCGGTTCCTTACGGGCATTCTTCGTTGCGACACTCGTCAGACGAAGCTCCCCAAAACGGCCAAAGGCGAAGCGACTTGAATCTAAGAAGCGAGGGCAGTGACTCCGGCCAGCGGCAGAATGACGGCCGGGAAAACGCGGGCGGACGGAGGGAGACGCTGGATGAGGTTCCAGAACGGGGCCCCAGCTCGATCCAGGGCCAGCCAGGTGCGGACACCCGATTCTCAAAATGGGAAAGAGGTGGACCGGCGTCTAGTCGTGGAGTTCCGCCAAATGCGAGCAGCCAAAGGGCAATCTCCGCAAACGCCTACGGACAGGGAAGACACGAGAGTCGCCTTCCGTCACCTTATGGAAGCCGGGCTTCTTCTCGGCGTCCGAGCAGGACGGATTCCGTTGCGACCCATGGCGGAATCCCGTCTGGCAGGCAGAGCCGGGCGGACTCCGCCCCCACGCACAGCCGGCTCTCCTCTCGGCGCTCAAGCCAGGCCGACTCCGCCGCCGCTCTCAGCGGAATTCCGGTCGGCCTCCGGGTGCTCATGGACGGGCGCCCGCTTCCTGGGTTCCCTGCGAAAGTGGAGGACTTAGGCGGATACTTTGCAGAGGCACGTGCCCAATCGGACGGCGCCAATTCGAGCGCGAAACTGCCGTTCAGAAGGGCCTCGTCGCCCTACGTGTACAGGACGGCAGAACGGCGCACCAGTCGCGCGAGCTCCGCGCCGCCGATGCGACCACGGTATAATCGGTCTATCAAGGTTTGGGTCTAGTAGATTCCCAGCGGAAAGCGAAGGGATCTGTGCTCCAGACAGATGCTTTTCAAATGGGTAACTGGCTGTCTACTCCAACATATATTGGTTGTGAAAGTCCTGTGTCACATACATGTCCGACTTCTAGTCTGATTTAAGGGGGATTGCTTCTGTGCGCATCTGTTCAGGTCAGGTGTGTGGACTGCCTCGATTGAGTCGATTTCCGGCGCCGCTCACATTGTTGCAGAAAAAGCCAGAGAAGAACACGGTATTCGTACCTGAGACCTTGCTCCGCTTAATTGCATGCCATGCTGGTTATCATGCGGCACTGGCCACATCATGGCATACATATATACAGGGAATTTGCCGTAATAAAAAAGGGGTAATGCGCCAGCTTAGTGTAACGATTCCGCTAAAGCTCAGCTCAAAGTCAGCCCGGCTATTGGAACTCTAGCCTGCTTGTGGCTCCCAAAAACGATGTTATACATGCTCAAACTGGCAGGCCGAGATCATTCGATTAGCCGCGGCCCGCCGTGGATCGATGCCCATTGCAATTTGTCTACTAGTTCACTTGGAACGCCACCGGCCGCCTGTCGGACGGGTACCGGCCTGGGAGTCCGATTACCGCCACAGAAAGCAGAACGCACCTGGTACCAAATGACCCGAGCTAGGGCCGCGCGGCCGGGCCTGGTACATTGAATACTCTGGCGTAATGTACGTACGTACGTATAAAACAACATGTGCAGCATATTGCATATGCCAGCCGCGCGCCGGCAAGTATAGTAATGTATGGCCCTGCCGCCGCGCCCTGGCTACTCGGCCTATAAGATCACAGTGGACAGCTAGGCGCTACATGAGTACCTTGATCATCTAGTTGCGCTAAAATGATAAACGCTTGCATATGCATCATTGGCACGTGCATGACGGTCACCCATTGAAGTGAATCGAAAGTTCTATATGTAAGTCTGGACAATTGCCATTGTAAGTTCATAATCGATCGAGGCCGGCCCAGATTGCCACACGCTCACAAAGGCAAAGATGGCATGATCAATCACCCTGACACATATTTTGATGAAAAATATACGGCCAAGGAAACAAGCACTTTCAATCTCAGCTAATTAATAGCTGATCTTTTAAGCTTGCTCATGAGTGTAATGCCCCCTGAAGAAGTGAACAGCAAGGTTCTTTCGATCGCAATCTAGTAGTCGTCTAAGGTCTTGAGACGCTGGGCCTTGAAGTTTACCTTAGCAACGCATGCTGTACAGCAGTCTGTGACAATCCCAGATTCAAAGCCCCGTTTTTTGGATACACAAAATCAGCTACTGTGTGTTCGGTTGGTTGTGTGACTTCGAAGACGAATTGCTGAAGTCTGCTACTTCAGCAATGAACTGTAGGCTCCACTCATGCAAAGTAATGCACTGGCACTGCAATTCAAGAGACCCTTATTGCCTTCCCTCACGAGCCCCCTCGATCACGCGCTATGCTGGCTGATGCATATATGTGCCCTATTCTAGATGTAGGCCTAAGGTCTACTATAGACTCCAACCTATATGTCACCCGAATCCTCAATACCAGCCGCTCAAATTATCAAACATGAAGACAATGGCCTGATAAACTGTCTTCAAATATATACATACCGTTCTACATTGTGAGGCATACTATCCGCTTGAATCTAGCTAGCCATGATCTAGCCTGTCACCACTCCTGCAGAGAACACAATGGCTGTACTTTAGTACGTTTAGAAGTCCGCTATGTAGGTGTTGAGGGACTTCCCAGCCATTGCAAACTGTTGCGAAGCTGCATGTGCCTGAACTGACCTGCTGTTCAACTACTGATCCTTATGCCCAACTTCGCAAGTCCTGGCTGTATCTTATTAGCTTATTCTAAAGAGATGCAATCCCAGCAATGATTAAATCAATGATTGCAAAGAAAAGTCGCACAAGAGTCACCTTCAGATCCTGAGATTCAGGAAGCCAAGCAAGCCACTGGCATTGCTGGTGATCCGCTCGCTCCCAACCAAATGCACCCTCATTGTCTGCTCCTTCGGCTGCCAGGCCGCAGTCAAATCTGCCGGGTCCTGCATCGCCAGACTGAACTCCGTCCCCGCTTCACACACGAGCAAGGTTTGCACCCCGGTGGCCGTCCCCCCAAGATAACAAATCACGCGTGGCATGGCGCCTTTCCTTTTTGAGCTCGTCACACGGACAGAATAAACAGGGGGGCGACTATTGGTTGGCGACACGCTATCCAAATTGTTGACCAGCACAGGACACCCGACCTTTGCGCCGGCAATGCAGCTGACATTTTCGGGGGCCGCGCAGACGGAGGCCAGACAGAGCTCCAAGTCTTTTCTGCCCCCCTCAGGGGCGTATACTGCAACAGGGTTCTCCAACGTCAGTTCTGCCGTCCAGACACCCATTTTGTTGTGCTGCAAACACCTCCTGACACTGTTTGCATGCTGCCAAGACGACGTCTTCTAGGATACAAATCACCATGCAATGCCATGAGCTGTGAACTTGCAGCTGCCTGCAGCCAGCCTGCCCAGTCACAGTGCCAGCCAGAGGGATGCCGGGCCGGCTATACCTATTTAAGGTAGAAGTATGGCATTCAACCGCCTGCAGAACCCTGGGTCACGTTTGGGGTCATAGAATTTTGGTTAAGTTTGGAACATTCTATG